CTAAACATAGAGCAGACCCACCCAATCCAAAATATTTTAACTTAGTGCAAAGAATTGAATGATCCAGGGTATCAAATGCCTTACTATAATCCAAGAGAACAAGGGCAGACACTTTCTTTTGGTCTAAGGCTCTAAATATGTCATCACATACATGTAAGAGAGCTGTTGAGGTGCTATGCTTGGCACGGAATCCTGATTGAGTCATAGGCAATAATGAAATAGAACCAATATATAAGTTGAGCTGCTTGAGCATCACTCGTTCAAGGATTTTTGAAATAGTAGGAAGTATACTGACTGGTCTATAATGCGACATCTCTGTAGGCATGCTATTTTTCGGTATAGGAATGATATCAGCTCTTTTCCATATTGTCGGAAATATGCTGGATTTAAGTGATTGGTTTATTATAATTGTTATAAACGGTGTGAGGTAGGGGGTAATCAAAGAAAGCATCCTGAGGTCAATACCGTCACAACCCATAGCGGAACTTTTTTTCCAGAAATAATCTCTTCCATACATTCATCAGACACCTCGATAAACTTAAAAATTTTGACAACATTAGGATGTCTCTTATCTTTGTACTCATTATTTATAAAATTATTAGAATCACCAGAAATGGTAGGGACATTGTCAATAAAAAAGTTATTGACTAGTGAACACTTGTCACCACTCAGCTTGGAGTCTGTGTCGGCCCGATCATAAATGTTTAGTCTCTTCAGGGTTTTCCAAAAGCCACTAGGATCCATTCTAAACTTGTAATCAAGATATGCCTTTTTTTCATTACGTATCGCTGTTGTTACAAAATTTCTCAGTTGTTTATATTCAACTAATGCAGCCTCAGTTTTAAGCCTTTTATATTTAGTCAAAGATTTCTTACGCAAGCTCATCATCAATTTAACATTGTCAGTCAGCCATGGTGCTGGAGCCTTTGTGAATCTTGACGTCCTCCAAGGAGCATGTAAGTCAAACACTCCTGTAACCTCCCTATTGAAGAAATGAACAAGATCGTTAACATCGCCCATAGACAAGAATATATTCCAATCAATGTTGAATAAATCATTAACAAAATCGGCGAAAACAAATTTGGAATAGTCCCTATACGAGCGATATGAAATAGGAATTCGAGTCTTTCTTAGCTTTAACTGCGCGCAAACCAGACAATGATCTGAGACATCTTGCATATCAAGCACCTGGACATCCCCACATAACCGAGAATCCGACGTTATCAGTAAATCAATAAGCGTTTCAGAATTTGGAGTAATCCGACTAGGCTGTTTGACTAATTGAGTTAAGTTATATTTACGAAATAATCCATTTAGAAGTTTGGTCCCAGGATTACTTGCCAACAACATATTAACATTGAAATCCCCTCCGAATAATATATAATCAGCAGTAGGCAGAACATCAGCCAAAACATCCTCCAAGTCCTCCAGACAACCGTTCAAAGTCAAATCAGGAGGTCGATAGAGAGACCCAAAGCAAATTGACTTTCCGTTCACTCTAACTCTAATCCAGAGCTGTTCAATTGAACCAATCCGATGTGCCACCTCCAGAACCTGAAATTTCAAAGAGCATCTGACATACATTGCGACACCACCACCTCTCCCATCCCTATCTTTCCTAATCAAGTTATAGTTTGCTATTTTTAATCCTCTACTAAGTATACCGTCATGTAGCCAAGTCTCTGACAGACCAATGACGTCAAATCCCTCCTCCGTAACAAATTCGCAAAATGCATCAAACTGAGTACAAATCGAGCGTATATTGAAATGAGCGAATTTAAAGCTAGCCTCCATACTTGCCATATACCTCTCTAGTGAGCATGCACATATGTGTTCCACCCCATAAAATTTTTGAAGTTATGATAAATGTGTGATGAATTGAAAAAAAAAAAATAATAATAAAAAGAGATAAATTGAAAATAGTAATTATTATAAGCCTACGTATAAATCTAGCCTAAATAAAAATTCCGGTTGTAGGTAAAATAAAAGTCCTAAAAGCATTAGAACCATAAAATGAAAATTGCATTTTTCTATTTATAATAATAACAAAACCAACTATTCGGGCAAAAAAGAAATAAAAAGAATCGATGACGATTACAAACGATGAAGGTAAAAACTATCATTGTACAGCAGCATTCCAACAGAAATAGAGAATTATTGTTGCACACCATCATTTTAACGTTATTTATAGACACTGCTTTTTCTTCGCTTTAGCATCCCAGTAATAAATTTTCCCCGAGGATGACCAGACATTATTCTTACCATACTTTTCCTTGGCTTCGCATAGTAACTTAAATCGTTTTTGAGTCAAATCTTCAAAAATTGACACAGGCGTGTCTTTCAGAAGTTTTTTTTCCATAAGTATTTCATTCCGCTTGACATTACTAATAAAAGCTGCTATTATTGTGCCTGGGGAATTCCCCTCATCACTCTTTGACAAACGAAATATGTAATCCAGATCGTCCTTGGTGCAGTTGATATTAAGGTTCTCACTAAAGAAACGCGGGACCTTTTCATAAAGATTTTCTTCATCGGTCTCTTCTAAACCACAAATTCGCAGAGTATTTCTCTTGCCTTGCTGTTCCAAAACGTCCATCCTGATATTCAAGCTATCAATTTCCTTTTTGTTGGTTATAACGGACTCATTAATTTTTGTTAGTGAATCACAGACCTTCGCAAGCTTGGAATTAATGCTGTCCAGTTTAGCATCAAACTTAGCCTCAAGCTTCTGCACAAAATTAGTACAGTAATCATTTTCACAGGAGAATTTTACTGAATTTTGACCGGGAATTTTACTCATATTTTACCGAAGAATTTTACTCATTTTTGACCTCGAATTTAACTCATTTTTGACCACGAATTTTATTAATTTTTGATCGCGAAGTTTAATAATTTTTGACCGGGAATTTTACTCGCTTTTTACTGATTTTTGACATAGATTCTTTTCGATAAGAGAATTTGTTCAATTACATAAAATGAAATATGTGGAATTCCAAATAATAAAATGGTAAAATTCTATCGAAATTACATGAAATTCTACTAAAATTAGATGAAATTCTAGCAAAAAAAAAATGTAATTCCGAAGAAATTACTTTTTATTTACATGGTGTGATACGTTTCAACATACGAGGTAAGTGAATTGAATCATATTTTTGTGAATTAGAGTGTAAGATTCAACAAAAAGTCGCTTTTCGATAGCAAACAAGTAGGTAGTTAAGCTCAGCGAGCTTCCGATTAACGTACCACAAACTACCTATTGTATACAGTGTGTCCGAAATTCGAGTCTCTACATGGGGATTTCGCTTATTATGAGAGATACAGGGTGGCTCAAATTAGGAAAGTTTTAGGGAATTTATTGCTCATTTATATCCTGTTGTTAAATTTGCTTCAAAGTTTTCTGTTTCCTAGAAATCCGAGAAAAACTGAAAATAGCCAATTTTGTTTTTTGTCAATAATTCATAAACCGTTTCCATGGTTTTTTGGGAATGTTTATGATTTTCGGAAATTTTCATGATTTTTGTGAATTTTTATGATTTTTGAAATTTTCATAATTTATTGCGATTTTTGTAATTTTCATAATTTTGGCGGTTTTTATACATTTTTTTGATTTTTGTAATTTTCCTGATTTTCTTATTTTTTATAGTTTTTTCGAAATTTTGTAATTTTCTTAAATTTTTATGATTTTTGTAAATTTTCGCAAAAAATTCTAGGGGTACGATATAGAATTCCAAATAAATTATGTTGAATGCTGAAGAAATTATATGGAATTTACATGTAATTCCAAAAAATTACATGAATTTGCAACTGACAGCTACATCACACACATACACATACACAAAGTTCCTAAAGTTAATAGAGAGTTATTGGAACTATTGAATATTGCCTGGAAGTATTAAGGATTTACGTTATTTTATTAGTGCAATAGCACTATTTCTTCAAGAAAATAACAGTTATTGGAAGACTGTAGTAGGTGTCAAGTATTACCTTATTTTGTATTCATAATTTTGACAGCTGATAGCTATGTTTATAAATTTCAACCTCAAAAAGTGCAAATTTTTGTTTATGAATTTCTGCTGATACCCATTTTCTGATGATATCCACAGTAAAATGAAAAACTATTGTAAAAAACAAATTCTCCAAGTAAAATTCCATCATCGTCGAAAAGCGAAACGTCAAAGTCGTCCAAAATGTCAAAAATATTGAAATAAGGGAAGTTTACTACCTCGCACTATCCATACACAAATAAAGACAAGCAGTAACCTTACCAAGGGAATCCTTATTTTCAGATCCAAATGCGCATGCGTAGATGTCAAAATAAGGCTAATTTAAATACTGCTTGTCCTTATTGCACGTCCAATAACTCTCTAATAGGTTGTCTGTTAATGATAAACAGATGACGTCCTAAGGAGGACCTAATGGAGATTTGCATAGTGTTTAGGCACCCCAGATGAGGTCATTAAAGTTACCAGGCAAACCTACCTCTTTCAAACAACCTTGCCTCTAGACTACAACGCCGATAATTTGAAGCTTATTGGACATTTAATCCTCAAAATAATAACATTTGACAGAAATAATTTTTTAACAAACTCATTGAACGTCGATCTATCAAATTTGACTTTAAAATTTGCCCAAAATTGCCCAGTTCAAGAAGGACGAATTTTTATCAATGAAAATGATACAAATTTGAAGCCCAATAAACATTAAATCTTCTTTAATAATCAAAATAATAACATTTCTAATGCACTTTCTATCAAAATTAAGAAACGCGATTTTTTCTCAATAACTAAATCTTTTCAAATACTCATCATTCAAATATATCCTAACACACTTGTGTCATAATAATTACATTGCAGGCTTATCTTTGTATCAAAAAATAATTCCAAACAGTGAGAAACCAGACCACTCTGCTAGATCCCCACCCAGAAACACCGCGGGTCCTCTCTTCCTCCTTTACCTGATTTTCGTAACAAAATAAATATAAACTACTTGCCATTGATTGTTTCATTCATAATCTTTATCGGTCAAGTGGCTAATAATGCAAGCTATTGACAAACTAGATTTTCCCATCAGTCGATTTTTTCCTGCATCAAGTTAGACCGGTGCCATAATATAAAAGGTCAACTTAAAATAAAGTCGCACGAATGAATGTCAATTTTGAAGTGAACTTCCAAAATAAGTTAACAATTCCAAGAACTTTAAGTTTAAAGTATTGGATTAATAATGGAAAAAAATTGTGGTGACAAAGTTTCCCGAGTGGAAATTAGTGGTGAGACGACAACCAGTGAGAGCAGCAATACTAGTGTAGAGGGTGATACAGTTTTGTGTTGTAAGAGCAAACGTGGACCTATTGATGGAAAAAAGTAAGGATTTTGCACTTAAAACCTGTTGAATATGAAAAAGTTAACTTTTTTGTGTGTATTAATAAAATGTTGAAAGCTATAAGTCACTAAAATTTGAAATTTTCTGGCAGTTTAGACTTTTGTTTGCTTTTGTATCAAATATTGTACATACATTATCATAATTCCTCTTTGGTTTAACAAGCAGCTAGTTATCTCCAAAACAAGTTTTTGCGAATCAAGTGTACATAAAATGCATCGAAGTTGGTTGGTTTCAAGGTTTCAAGGATTGTTAACATCCACAGATTAAAAAATAAAATATATAGGTACTTTATACGTTTTTTTTTTCAACGGAAAAAATAACCAGATATATTTCTAATTTACCATTTGGGTTTCACACAAAATAATTCAGATAATTATTATTGAAATAATTGTTTTCGTGTTTTTAATGAGTCTTGTTGGAAAGGTTCTTTTTTTTTAATTAGTTTTGTTAATGATCCAAAAATACAAAAGTAAAAAATTCACATCCTTTTTTCCTATAGTTTTAAAAACAAATTGCGTTCAGACGAGACGACCTTCTGTTGGTTCAGGTTCATGTTCGATTTCCTCATTGACCAAATTGCGTCAACAGAAGATATTTCATTGATTAGGTATTTCTTCTTCAAATATCTAATTTAAAAATTATTAGAAGGATGTGAAAGAACATTAAAAATAACATAATCTCTTGTCCAAGCAAATATTGAAATTTTAATTACATTATCAAAGACAAAATAAATTAATTCTTATAGTTTTTGAATATTTCTGGTTGGTTTTCTGTAATAAACATAAAACAGGTGTGTGACGTACTTTTGTAAAAATCTTATTAAAAACCATATGAAACAAGGTTTCATCTTAATCGTAATAAAATTGTTTTTGTTCATGAAAATCTAAATGAATCAACTCAATTTTATTGTTAAAGGAATTTGTTATAAATCAATGGAAAAGTTTTCAAAACAACAACACAACAATGTTATATAAAATCTTGCCAAGGTATTTCAGACTTGTTTTATATTTATCTCAGGAACTAATAATATTATGATTGTTAGTTATGTGAGTTATTCTTAGATATGTGGAACTTCTCTTCCAAAATTATACAATACGTCGGCTTGATGCCTTGAACACGTCAACATGTCTAAAAAACTTATTAGGGACGTTTTTAAGATGCCTCAAAAAACATCCCACGGAGCTCGTTTCTCGTTTCTCATTCAATTTAGAAGTTACTGGAAACCATTTGGTTTTGTGTGTAAGCTTTTCCACACGCGTTTTCTGGTGTTGTTTAATTTCTTCAATGAAAAAAAACCTTTGTTGATATAGATATCACTTGATTCTAACCGAATCTGTTATGAATGATTGAGATCTTCAAAGAGAATGATTAAAGGCCGGCATACACACACGTTATTTCGCGCGGTTTATCGTGTCATCTGCAAAAACCTGTGAAAAATCATGTGCGTGAGTGAGGAGGCTGCGCGCGATGATAGAATGGGAAGGGATTTCACACGTGCTTTCATCTGGAATGTGGCGTCAGTACTCAAGTACATGATAGTGCAGTTCACACCCGTGTCCACGTCACAAAACTGAAAATATGTACTTTCTGCCCTGACCTTTCAGAAAAATTGACAATTTTTGAAAAAAAAAAAAAAATCAGGGTTTACGGTTCATGTTCATTTTTTGAAAACCTAAATTTCGCATTTTTTTCATTTTAATATTTTTGGATTCAATTTTTTTTAGCACGAATAGCTTCTTTCTTTTGGAGAGAAAATACAGACTAACCCAAACTAACCTGTCCATCTAGTGAGATCTATCTAGTCCTCATAAGTTGCCATGTATTTTATTAGAAAAAAAAAAAAAACAAGCTAGTTTAGTTTAGAGCATATAGAGTCCCTTGAGCGCGCTTTGTTTTTTAAATAAAATGCTAATTTACAAAGACACACATAGCACTAGCACTAGACGGTCGGTTATTTTGGGTAAGTCTGCATTTTCTATCTAGAAGGCCTCAAGGCTTGTTCTAAATTGAACATAAAGAGAATCTGTGATAAAGAAGTTAGGTATATTATCAATTCACCAATCTTGAATCTAGTGGAGATATTCCGTGCGCCAATCGCCGACCTTAAAAAAATAGAGTAAAGGTCTGCAACTCGCGGATTTATATAAAATATGTAGTTTCACTACTCGCGGATCTTGTTTTGTTTGTTGTTTGTAAAATTGGATCCAGTTCCTGATCCCTTTAATTTTCATAGATGAAAAAATCTCCTAGTGGAAAGAAAATATAAATGAGTAACAATTTATGAAGAAAACACGAATATCATAACTAGCATAACAATACAAGCAAAGAAGTTTGTTGCAGAAATAACCCACAACAGGTTTAATTTTTATTATTTCTAATTTAATATATCTAGTTTGTATTATTTACCATAAAAATAATATTCTAAAAATAGATGCTATTGCAGGACTATTTATCCTGTAAAACCGGCAACAACAACCCTTTGAACCAATAAAATTGCAGGTTTCTTCATTACTTTATAAGGCAGTGGACCTTTCTCGCTGCTGTGATTGGTCAGCCGCCACATTGTTTTCTAGATATTTGCGACCTGCTCCCCTGGCAGAGTCTAGTCAACGCACATTCTTCAGTACTATTAGAATAAGCGAAGAGTTCGGACCTTCGCCCCCTCTGAATCCTCTCCAGAGGCAAAAACCCCTGTTAGTACGCGCGATTTATAGTAAAATACTACTCTCAGTGTCTCAAGTCCTGACATGGTCTATGTTATTGATTACAATTCATGGAATTAACCCCTAATTGTTGCAAGTCACCTCGGACGAGCAAAATTCTCTCCCACGCGATTGTCTTTTGGCGCTCTCTCTCACTCTCGACGGGCTCCAACGCACCTGTATATCGTTGTCTTTTCTTTTCATCTCAGTGAAAAATTCCCTAGCTGCCAGTGTGAACAGTGGTGATAAATGGATAAATAATCGCCTTGTGGATTTATCTGCATGAACTGGATTAAGCAAGTAAGACCGTTACAATTTCTCTAACAGTCGAACAATAAGTCAATAAATACTGATTAGTGATTCGCTCGAAATGCACTATAAATTGAAGTGTTTTCTAACGTTTAATGCAGAAATTTGGTTTTCACACTCATGAAATTAACATTTGTACATTTGTATGTAGAAACTGAGCATATATAAAGACTTTTCTTGCACATATTGTTTACAAACTTCCGCAGAAAAGTCCTCAAATTGTTAACTCTCAATAAATAAAAGAACTTTCAACGATCAATAAACATTTTGTGATTGCAGTGAACTGATTGAAGTTGACGAATTATTTATGTTTTGCTCTCGTGCATTTAATTAGTAAATTTGTGTTCTTGTTCACTGAACATTTAACCATAAATGATGTTATTATCATTATCAGATTTCCCTACCCTCCTACCCTTTATAAATCAAGACTTTAGATAAATATAAAATTTGTAGTTCGACTGGACGCCCAATTAGGAATTTTTAGATAGGATTTGATTGATAACCATACGGAATTACTTTCATTTATTAATTAAATTGATAACTATTTTATTTCAGGATTTTGATTGTATAAATGAGAATCAAGCCACCCCTAACCCAATTCAAGGCTTAAATGATCCAACACCTAATGGTGAATTTTTACAGTCAGTCAAAGTAAAAACCTTTGGCATCCCTAGTGCGGTTTGACTAAAGCCCAAAAAGGGCAATAGCTAGTTGCGTCACAAAAAACATAAATGTTTTTCGGAGTGGCACCCCAAAAAAAAAATTGTTTTTGAAGGCTTAAAATAAACTTTTTTGGGCGTGGCACCCAGGCAAATTTTTCGCGGCCTCCGGCGGGCCTTTCGTCTTCAATATTTTCCCCAATAAGCAAATAGTACAAAAGCATATAAACATTCATTTGTTACCCCCCCCCCCTCCTCCAAAAGAATTATGCGCCCACTCATATGTTCGCCCCTCTCGCCCGCAAGGCTGGCTACGCCACTCTAGAGCAATGAAGGTTCTGAAAAGCCATTAGTTAATAATGTCAATCTCACGGAAGGAAATGGGATTCTTTACAGAAATTTGAAAAAGTGAGCACAGTCTGTAATATAATGTGTTTCTGTCAGACGAAAATTATTTTAAAGAAATTGGGGAGACCAAAAAAAACAAAGAGGGCAAAGGACAAATTCACCTAGGAAAATCTCGATGGGTTTGCTCAAACTATTTCACTCGTTTTTCAAAAACACCTGCGCCAGAGCGCCAGAAGTAGGATTGGAAGAAGTAGCCAGACTCGGACAGCCAAAAATAAAAAACTTTTTCAGTAGAGCTGAAAACCCCACATTAAGGGTTAACTGAGAGGAAAACATACCTTCATCTAAAGAATCTAATGAACAAGAAACTTCTTCACAAACCCAACATGAAAAATCAAATAAAAAAATTGTTATTTTAAAATCTATTAGATTGAGAAACTTCTGTAATAAACCCTCGGAGAACCCCGATGAACACCCGGATATTTGTGAGTTATCTGAAACTTCGACAGAAATTGAACCAGAAACTCGACCAGAAACAAATAATTGTGATCCAGGAAATACATCTGATGAAACTTATTTCAATACAACTAACACTAATACATCATCAATAGAAAACAAGTCTTATTCAAGTCCGAATCAAACATCCATAGGTGTAAAACCTCCAAAAATCATGATATACAGAAAAAAATTGAGGACTCTAATCAATATGAATATGCGAGTCAAAATGCGAATATAAGCAGAGTTGGGCCGCCAAATGAAAATATCCTCCATAGTTTAATATAGGTACCTACATATACCTACCACTAGATACCCACTACTAAAATGCCAGCAACACACAACTTGAATTTTATTATTTTTGGAATTTTTTGGAATTTATTGGCATTTTTTGGCATTTTTTGCAATTTTTTGGCATTTTTTGAAATTCCCGGAATTAGTTGGCATTTTTTGGAATTAGTTGGCATTTTTGGTGTTCAACGTAAAAACCATGTAGTGGATAGTTGATTTTAAACCCTGTTTCTGCAGCGGCGGTTGTAGTCAAAATAATTATGGCTGCTAGGAAAAACAATACATATGATTTCGCTGATGTTGATGCTACGTTCGGTAATCGGTCTGATCTCCGTACCTCTGAGTAGTTTTGGATGGTTGGTAAATGGTGTATGTCTTCTGTCGGTAATGGAATTAACTTGTGGATCGATCTTTTTTGTGGTGAGCCACCGTGTTGGTCTGATTCTTCCATTTGTAACTAACTTTGCTGCAGTCTGGTGTGGTATTGCACCATGCGCCCCAAATGTTTTTCTTTAACATTTGCACGTGTCTCCATCGTTGAGATAGGTTAGAATGTTCTGTCGATTCCAAGTTTGGTGGTGCTAGAAGTTCTCTTCCCATGAAAAAGTGTCCTGGGGTCAAGATGTTGAAATCATCTGTGTCTTCTGTTAGTGGGTAGAGTGGTCTTGAGTTCAACCCTTTTTCGATTTGATACACCAACGTTGTTAATTCCATATAGGTCAAAGTGCAGTCTCCAATTACTCTCTTGAGATGGTGCTTCATAGATTTTACACCTGCCTCCCATATTTTTCTTGTCTGCTGGTGGTATGAAGTGCCATTGTGTTCCTAAGTTGACGATTGTGTTTTGCACAGATTGTGATTGTATCAATTTTGTGAGTTCATCTTCGAATAGTCGTGCTGCTCCAACAAATGTAGTTCCGTTATCACTGTACAATGTCCCCTTCCGGCTGTGAAACGTCGAAGTGCTGCCAAGAATGCCTCTGTTGTCATGTCACTGACTACTTCTAGGTGAATGGCTTTGGTTGCTAGGCATACGAATACTGCGATGTACTCTTTGTACGACCTTATCCTTTTGTTGCTTTGACTTGAATCGGTCCGGCGTAATCCACTCCTGCGTTTGTAAATGGTGGTGCTGGTGTTACTCTCGAATGCGGAAGTTGTCCCATGAGTTGCTGTGCGGTCTCGGCTTTGTGACGGATGCATACAATGCACTTATTTATAACTGCTTTGACGGCCCGCTTACCGTTAATGATTCAGAATCTGCTTCGTATGTACGACAATGTCGCTTGGTTGCCTTTATGTAGCGTGGTCTTGTGTAGGTACGTTTCTCACCACCAACGTAGATATGTGAGAATGGTATGGAAGAATCATCGGGTGTCGTTGTTCCTAGGGAAGAGGTGAGTGTTCGAGTCTTTCTCCGACTCGGATTATGCTCTGTCGAGAAATGGGTTGAGGGTCTGTAGCTTGCTTTTCTTGTCGACTGCGTTCTGCTGTTGTAGACTTGTATTCTTCGGAAAACTCTTGTTGTTGGACTATTTTTATGATTCTTTCGAAAGTGTGTTGAACTTCTTGAACAGATGGAGTAGGAATTTCCCTTTTTTGAAGAATCGGCGGCAGTAGGATGATACCCTGAGCATCCTTGTCAAGTTTGAGAAGCATTTCCATATATCGCTCCTCATCGTAACTTCAATGTTGTGACATGTGGCTTTTACTTCTTCTTGAATGTCGGGATTGTCTGTTGTGGGGATTTCACGGAGAAACGTCAGCCAATGAGGACCTTTCCACCACAGATCAGCTGATTGTAGTTTGTCTGGGTCCAATCCACTGCATATGATGTCTGCTGGATTTTCTTCAGACTTGACGTGGTTCCAGGATGCTTAAGGGGCGTTTCTGTGTATTTCGCAAACTCTATTTGCCACGAAGGTTTTCCATCTCGTAGAGTCACCCTTTATCCAGGCAAAAGTGATCATGGAATCGGTCCAAGCGAAGGTCTGGGTTTCACCCATTTGCAGTGCTGGCTTAATTTTTTGAATTAATTTTGATAATAGGACTGCTGCACATGGTTCCAAGCGAGGTAGGGTTGTTCTGTTTTTTTTCTAGAGCGACTTTTGATTTTGTTTGCAGCAGCGTTATAATTCGCTTATCTTCTTCTCCTATCCGACTAGATTACTGCACCATAGGCCTTTTCTGATGCATCGCAAAAGCCGTGGAGTTCAATTTTTGTTTTTCTCAGATGTATCCACCTCGGAATCTTGATTTTTTCTACTTTTTTTATTTTGCTCTGAAACTGTATCCATCTTGAAGATATTTCTTGATCTACAGGCTTATGCCAGCTCAGGTTTCTTAGCCATAAGTCTTGAATGATGAGTTTAGCGTGTATTACAATTAGAGACAACCATCGTAAGGGGTCGAATAACAGTACTCGGAACTGTTCTGGAATTGATTGGAGTGATGCCGGTGAGTTACTAGACCATTTTCTCAGGTTGAATCTAGCAAGGCTGAGCATTTTTAGTAGTTGGTTTTATAGTTCTAGGGCTGATTCTGTATCTGCTGCTCCCGATAATATGTCATCGACGTAGAAGTCTCCTAATGCTGCTTGGCGTGCTGCCGTAAATTTGTTGGATTCTTCGATTCCAAGCTTCTGTAGTGTATTGATGGCTAGATATGATGCCGAGGCTGTACCGTAGCTTACAGTGGTCAGTTCGTATTCATACATTGGTTACTGTGGATGCTCCCTCCATAATTTTCTCTGGAATTGTTGATCGTCTGGATGAATTCGGATCTGCCTGTACATTTTCTCTCTGTCTACGCAGAACACAATCTCACGCAGCAGTATGTCGGCGATGTTTTGTTGCAGTCTTGGGCCGACGTGCATGATGTCATTGAGGCTGATGTTAGTCGAGCTTTTGCAAGATGCGTCGGAAACGACTCTTAGTCGCGTTGTTGTGCTGGCTTCTATGATGACAGGTGATTTTCCTCATATGATCCAACTCTATGTATTCCTTCATGCAGAAGATTGTTTTTGTAAACTGGGATCTTGATGTAACTTTCTCTCAATGTTCTTGAATCTTGCTGCGACTCTTGGTTTAGAGTGACCTAATACATCAAAGTTGTGGTTTCCTCTCTTCGCATGCTTGCTCTTCTTCTGTTAGGTGCTGCGCTTGGCTTGTTTCTTCAAATTCCCAGAACTTGGTTTGCTGTCTTCATTCTTCCAACTATCTATGCTGTTTATGTGTAGGTGTCGTTTTGGCATGGATTGAGTAAGTTTTGGAAGGACAATCATATTGACATCCATGGAGAATGTGCTCATAAATCGTGGTTTGATCTGTGCGTCAATAGACCATTTACAGACTTTTGGTTCTCCGTCACCAATACCTGAGATTTGTGCTCTGATGCTATGACGTGGTAATCCCAGCCGATTTGCAGCTTCTTCAGCAATAATGGATATCTGTGACCCTTGATCAATAAGAATCCTCAAGATCTGAGGGGAACTTGATGTGCTCACTTCTACTAGAGCAATAATAAGGAAATATTAGCAAGAAAATGTTTCTCTTTCAATTCAAATTCCTGAATTTTTATAATTTTTCCTATTCCAGGCTCTTTGTTTTTCCTTATTTCTTTATTATAAATTCCTAACTTTTTTTTTGGCTCTTGAATTTTTTCATTTCAGGTTCTTGAATTCTCATTACTCCCGTATTTTAGAGTTTCTGGTCTCTGTGGTTTCTGGCTCTTGGATTTGTCACTCGTGGCTTTTCTAATGTTTTTCTTCCCCAAAGTACCTAATAGAAGATTTATTGGGAGCTTTATCATACTAAAATTTCCAATCAATCGCTGAACAGTCTGGATCTAGAACTCAAAATTTACATATTCACTAAAACAAAAAGTATTCTTATAATAATCCTTATTAGAAATTCAAATATTTTTCCGTATCCTGCAATAAAAATATTCTATAAACAAACATTTCTGCGGTCTCAACCTTCCGTTTTTTTCACATATTAATTAGTGAATCCTTATTGTATTTTTCTGTTTAGTCACGATAGTTTCAATATGTTTGTAATCGATATTTTTTTCTAATTACTTTAGTAGTCTAAAATTGTTTTTTTTTTCTAGAAAAAAGAAAACGAAATTCACCATAAAACAAAAAGTCTCCCTAGCCATGCTAGCTCTGGCAGACTTTATATGTTTCTGTTCAGTATCAATAATTTCTCCATTTTTTCCCGCTGAAAGTGCCAAAAAAGGCGTTTCCGTATCAGTTTCGGGATTAATATTTGGAGTTCATGCTATTGTAGTCGTTTTAACATCGCCAATATTCGGTAAAGTGGTAAGTTTTCATAATTACCAGAAAAAATTATCTACATATATTTTTCTTGTAGCTGCCTAAATTTGGAGCCAAGTATATTTTTATATCTGGACTTTTAGTATCAGGAATATCTAGTTTAGCTTTTGGGTAAGAAATCTATATTGTAAATATATTATTTGTTATTGTCGATTTTAGTCTTATATACAGGATAGATGACTACACTTATTTTGTAACAGCGTCATTTGTAATACGAGCAATTTCGGCTCTAGGAGCCAGTGCTTATTCTACAGCTGGATATGTACTTATTATAAATATTTTTCCTGACAATGCTGGTGCAGTAAGAGTAAGTACATTTTTAAATAATCTTTGCTCACTTTATTAAATTTAATATTCTTAAAGGGTCTTCTAGAAACCTTTGTAGGCCTAGGAATCAGTGCCGGACCAGGAATCGGCGGCTTGCTTTACACGGTAATAACTATTCACCTATAAACAACTTTTTTATTGTATGCAACATTTTTTCTAGGAAGATTGGAGGGTTCGGTCTTCCATTTTACGTTGTTGGAATTATTACCATTGTAATCGCTTTTTTGAATTTGTTTTTGCTGGCGCGACCTGAAAGTAAGTAGTACCACCAAATAGGTATGTATATTATGTTGATACTTGAGGGTATCTTTTGCCAACGTTCATCAATCCTTTTAGAATGTATTACTGAAGATATATCATTATAAAGTAGATAAGTACCTACTGAGAAATAACAATTCAGTAGGTACCTACCTACTTGTAGACTGAAGATTGTGTGGGGAATCGTTTAGGCTTTTCAGTCGCTCAGCACTGCTACCTTTGCAGATATTTTGTATGTGACTCTACATCTTAAGTTGTCTCCAGGAAGCGTAGACTTTTGCCGGAGGAAGTTATTTTTCTGGGTGTCAGTTGGCCCACTTCTTCTGGTGACAGTGTGCAAAGCCTGGACATGCGCAGAGCAGGTGCTCTGCGGTCTCTATTGCGTCTGAGCAGAATCTGCAGAGATCGTTTTCTGCTCTGTCCATTAACCCTAAGTGGTATTTCACCAGGCCGTGTCTTGTGAGCAGTCCTACGACCATTCTGATGTCTGGTCTGCTCATGTTTAGGAGCTGTTGAGCTCTTTTTGCTGAAAAGGTGAACCTTTTTGACTGTCTTAGTCCCGGAGTGTGCCTCCAGTATGATGACAGTTGGTCTTTCTCCCATTTGTTGAGTTCTTCCATGATGTGGCAGCCACATCAGCGTTACCTGGTTGTGTAACACTAGTGTTTTTAGGGTCTGTTTACACTCCCAGACTAGTTTTGAAGTGCATTTAAAAGCCCTCAAGGCTTTTAAGGCAGCTTCCCTATCTGATAGTATGAAGATGTGTTTTCCTTTAAGGCTCTGGTTGAGACACGCTTGTGCACATAATGTTTACAGCAAGCAGAGCGGCTTGAAATATTGTAAGATATTTGCCCAATGTCTTGGAGAGCCTTAGGTTAGGGCCGGAAATGCCTAGTCCAGCTCCTTCTGTTAGTTTGAATCCATCTGTGTACCACAGAGATGCATTGTCTGATTGGTGCTCGTTTATTACCACTGCGAATGAGATCTCTAAGTCCAATCTGACCATCATGTGATCACTTGGTTTGCTGGCATTCTCCAGTTTTATTATTTCAAAGATGCGCAGATGTCCCCTCAGATCACCAGGCTTGAACTTGTCTGTTTGGAATAGCCTGTGAGCGCTGATTATTGCCTCCTTTTTCACACATAGGTGAAGTGGAGACATGTTAAGCAGCGTCTCTAAGACTGCGGTGGGGCAGGTCGACATTGATCCCGTTATTCCTAGGCTTACCAGCCTTTGTACCTTGTTTAGCTTGATCTGAGCGGTGACTTGCTGAGTAAGTAACCCTTAGTAGCAATACTCAGATACAAATTACTATAAACTAAAAAATGGTTTTCTTTTTCTACTGTGGTAAAGAAATCTTTGTTCCCGACTTTTTTAGTGCTGCTAATATAAAATTACCCAAAAACAAATTTCCTTTCAGAAAACCAACTAGAAAAAAGTGAATCTTTAATAAACCTACTAAGACTTCCTCCAGTATTGGTAACATGCACCCTTTTAATAGTCACTTCCATGACTATCTCCTATTTGGATCCAACTTTGGAGCCCCACTTGAGAAAGGTAAACAATCCGCAATACTTATTATCAGTAATTTAAAAAAATTCCAGTTCGAATTGAGTGCCAGCCAAGTAGGCCTCATGTTCCTGCTTTTATCTGGAACCTACGGATTATCCAGCCCCATGTGGGGCTGGCTCAGCGACAAAATGAAAGATTACACTTGGATTATGACTACTGGCTTATTTTGTAGTTCGGTGGTTTTGTTGTTTTTGGGACCGTCGCCAGTGCTTACTTTTGTTGAAGAGTAAGATATGATTCTATTGAGTCTGTAAAGGCTGATTAATTATTTTTTAGCTCAATTTGTCTTAATGCAGTTGCCCTATCAGCCCTTGGCGTATCCACTGGAATGGCTTTGATACCTACTTATCAATATATTTCTGATAGTGCAATGTAAGTATCAAATTTAACATAATTTTTTTTTCTGAAATTATTATTTTAGCGAAAATGGTTTTCAAGAAAGTTTAGGCACCCATAGTGTAATAGCTGGCCTTTGGTCATCAGTTTACTCACTAGGCGAAGTTATAGGACCAGTCTTGGGTGGCACCTTGATGCAAAACTTTGAATTTCCAGTGACATCTAGCACAATGGCTCTCATTAACTTTGTAGGGGCCATTTTGGCATTGATATACTTTAAATTGAAGCACATGAAAGAGAAAGCTTTAGCAGAAAAGCACGGTATTGATAATGTTGTTTTTGGTGAAATTAATGGGATTTGTACTTTAGGAAAAGGGGAAGACAATATATGACTGTGAGTTCTCAACTTGAATTCAAACCAGATAATTTGAAAAAACTATTATTTTTCAATTAAAATATGTGCCAAGTAACTAATGTTTCTAGAAAATAAGGAAGAATAATTAAGTCAAAAATAAATAGTTATGTGATAACAATTTGACACCTCCTAATTGATTTTTTTTTTACATAATTGGAGAAAATTCACCCATTGATATGATTGAGAAAAACAAGGAACTTAAAGTCACAGTCTCATGAACTATTCAATTATCAATATAAGTTGTAAATGTAACTATTTGTATGATACTAATTGAATAATTGGTGAGACTATGACTACAAATTTTCTAGTTTTCTTAATCATATTATTGTAAATAGGCCAGTGGAGTGTGATCTTTGACAAAAAACAATAAACAAAATAAATAAAAAATTATGTCGTGATATACCGGGTGGTCCTCCGGGAATGACATCGATTGCTTATGGGAAAACTGTGAAAGGTAAAAATTTGAAAATTTGGCAACATAGCAATGTCGATGGGGGACATCTAGGTAAAATATTTTCAAGATGGCGGCATTTCCGGTCATACCGGAAGTTGATACCAACTCGGTTATTTTAAATAGAACACCCCATATATTAATGTATTTTTGGATTCTACATAAAATTCTGAGCAGATTTCATGTAATATACCCTATACCTAAGTTCAACTGTTTTGGAAATATTGACAGTTGAAAATTGACTTTTTGCAACTTTGACAAGCTGTAAAACCTAATTGGTTAATTTTAGAGGAAAACCGATTTCACATTCCTATCTTAGATTTTGATAAACTATCATTTGACACCAACTTTGAACTTAAACGGAGATTAAATTTAACTGAAATTTTTAATCATGGATTTAATTCAAAGTTGATGTCAAATGATAGTTTATAAAAATCTAAGATAGGAATGTGAAATCGGTTTTCCTCTAAAATTACCCAATTAGGTTTTACAGCTTGTCAAAGTTGCAAAAAGTCAATTTTCAACTGTCAATATTTCCAAAACAGTTGAACTTAGGTATAGGGTATATTACATGAAATCTGCTCAGAATTTTATGTAGAATCCAAAAATACATTAATATATGGGGTGTTCTATTTAAAATAACCGAGTTGGTATCAACTTCCGGTATGACCGGAAATGCCGCCATCTTGAAAATATTTTACCTAGATGTCCCCCATCGACATTGCTATGTTGCCAAATTTTCAAATTTTTACCTTTCACAGTTTTCCCATAAGCAATCGATGTCATTCCCGAAGGACCACCCTGTATATAACTAATTGTGTAAACCATAATTCCTCAAATATCAATAATCACAAATAGCTCCTTTCTTTTATCAGGTTCATTAACAATATGCATAGCAGAATAAGTGATAGCTTTTACTTCAGTACCTTGTGGATGCTTGCCTATTTGAAACTCTTCCCCATAGCATTTACACTTAATTCTAAACTCTTCTCCAGTTTCAAACTGGGTTATAACAAGCTTACTACAAATCAGAAAAGGATCGCAACTGAATAAAAATAAGAGTTCGTCCAAGAAGTGGAACAAGAGGCCTTCCAGGTCGTCGCCTGTGGCTTCAATTTCTTCGCACTGTTTTATTTCTATTGATTCTAGTTCGGTCATGTAGCCGAACATCGATATGCCGCATTGTTCAAAGGCTTCTTTAAGGGTATCGCCCCAACTGTGAAGCCTGAAAAAACCCAATGTAGGGATTGAATTTGGACCATAATAGAAAGAAAACTTACTGTACATCAGCTGTATGGTCCAAATCTAGAAGAAGAATCAATTTTTTTAGAGATAATAAGTGAGATTTCAGGGCTACTTACATTCGTATTTTTTGGGTGCCAGCTCAAGTTCCTCGGCTGTAAAGGACATTTTTTGTATAAATTGAGAATATATACTAGTTACACCATAAATTGCAATGTTTTTACATGAAAATAAAGAGAAAATAAATGTAAAGGAGTCAAAAATAAAAATTTTAGGTTAAAGTTAGAATAGTGAGGTTAGAATTTACAGCTCGTTTTTCAAATCTCTCTTTAAACATAAATGGAATGTCTTTCTCCATTCAATAGGTTTATAATGACGAGAAAACCATAATTACTTGTATATTAACCAATAAGGATGAGAAAAACATGAAAAATATACCAAATTTTAGAGTGAGTTCTTGTTCGGAGTTACATAGCTCCGGAACTATTCGTTCGGAGTAACTCCCAGAAAAGAACGCTTTCGAGCCGCTTTCCAGTATGAGAGTGTGACGCCCGGAGCTACTCGGGGCGTTGAGGTCCCGAGCTGTACGTAGGCGTCAACCTATCAGCTGTCACATCCGTGGGTGGCTATTTATCTATTTATTTCTTGTTATATCTCAAGATTGAACATTTTAAAATATATAGTTTTGATTCTCTTTTATTTTTGATAAATAAAAAAACAAACTGCACAAACAAACAGATAATTATTTTTAAAATTTGACATATTTGACACTAAGACAGGCGTCTCACGCCATGATACTGGAACGGTACAAATTTAGTGCGTGGCGCCCCCGAGGTGCTCTAGAGCGCGCCAATGTGCATACAAGAGCCGCTTTCCAGTATGGGAGTTTGACGCCCAGAGCTACTCGGGGCGTTGAGCCCCCGAGCTGTACGTACGCGTCAACTTGTCAGCTGTCACATCCGTGGGTGGCTATTTATTTATTTATTTCTTGTTATATCTCAAGATTGAACTTTTTAAAAAATATAGTTTTGATTATCTTTCATTTATGATAAATAAAAAAACAAACTGCACAAACAAACAGATAATTATTTTTAAAATTTGACATATTTGACACTAAGACGGGCGTCTCACGTCATGATACTGGAACGGTACAAATCTAGTGCGTGGCGCCCCCGAGGTGCTCTGGAGCGCGCCAATGTGCATACTGGAAAGCGGCTCTTGAATCCAATCCAAGTGCCTTCATGTTTGGACTTGAGTCACAAGCCTTAAGTAGTGAGTATTAGAGGCTACACGATAGAAACTACGAGAGTCAAAATGAGTCTACTATGAAAAACACGCCGCTTAAAAAGTCGCTCGGAGCAAGGACCCGGACCGGAACGATATTGAACCGAAAACCGGAACAAAACCGTTTTTTTTTTGCGGACCGGAACCAACCCATATTTCATAGAAATGTTTAGGCAGGCAGAACCGGAACCGATATGAATTAATCCGTTCTTACCGATATTTTTCAGTTCCAAGATATCATAAATTAGGCTGTTTGCTGTTTGGTCGTATCGTCGAATGGTAATAAAAGGCCCTTTCCAGCTGCGTGCTTCTAGCACGGTGCAGCACAGTGTTCTGTGTTTAAAACGCAAAAGTTAGCAGCTCTCGAAGCGAGGTCTATAAACCTAGCAGTCCCAAGATGGAAAAAAACTTCGGGAACTATATAATAATTAGGTGCCTTTTAGGTGCTAATTAGGGCCTCTAATTAAAAATTAAATGCTCCTCTAGTTTTTGAGAAAATCAAAAAAAACTAAGGGATTACTATGTTTATGAAAGCTAATATAGTCCCCTATAGTGAAAAACATTTTTCCAAAAATTTTTTTGTATCAGAATTAGGTGCTTTTTAGATGCTCCTAAATAGTCGAAGAAAAGATAGAATTGATTAATTATTAACTGAGTTAAAGATTTTTTTAAAATTATTAGGGGACTGCTGGCTTTACGTTTACATGTTGGTGTTTTAGAATGGTAAAAAAACTTCGGGATCTATATAATAATTAGGTGCTTTTTAGGTGCTCCTAGTGGAAGAAAAAAAAGAATTAATTATTAACTGAGTTGCAGATTTTTTTTTTAATTATTAGGGGCTGCTGGCGGCTTCACGTTTATATATTGGTATGTCAGAATGGAAAAAAACTTCTGGATCTATATAATAATTAGGTGCTTTTTAGGTGCTAATTAGGGCCTCTAATTAAAAATTAGGTGCTCCTCTAGTTTTTGAGAAAATCAAAAAAAACTAAGAGATTGCTAGGTTTATGAAAGCTAATAGTCCCCTAAAGTGAAATAGCTATTTACCTAACAAGTGCAGAAAATGAATTTTTTCGCACGGCTGTCAGTGCGAAATAATTTACGCCTGTAGGAAAAATATTGTACCTAACACTTGCGGAAAATATTTTTCTGCACTTGTGAGGTAAATAGTTATTTCACTTTAGGGGACTGCTAGTTTCTATTAACCTAGCAGTCCCTTTGTTTTTTTTTTGATTATCTCAAAAACTAAAGGAGCACCTAATTTTTAATTATTAGCCGTAATTAACACCTTAAAAGCACCTAATTATTATTATTATTATATAGACCCCGAAATTTTTTTTCTATTCTGACACATCACCAAGTAAAAGTGAAGCCAACAATTTCCTAATAATGAAAAAAATCTGTAATTCAGTTAATAATTAACTGATTCAAGTTTTTCTTCGACTATTTAGGAGCACTTAAATAGCACCTGATTCTGATACAAGAAAAAAAAAACTATAGGGGACTGCTAGCATTCATAAACCTAGCAGTCCCTTAGTCCCTTAGTTTTTCTTGATTTTCTCAAAAACTAAAGGAGCACCTAATTTTCAATTAGAGGCCCTAATTAGCACCTAAAAAGCACCTAACTAATATATAGATCCCGAAGTTTTTTTCCATTCTGACACACCAACAAGTAAACGTAAAGCTAGCAGTCTCCTAATAATTTAAAAAAAAAATCTATAACTCACTTAATAATTAATCAATTCTATTTTTTCTTCGACTATTTAAGAGCACCTAAAAAGCACCTAATTCTAATACAAAAGAAAATTTTGGAAAAATATTTTTTACTATAGGGGACTACTAACTTTCATAAACCTAGCAATCCCCTAGTTTTTTTTTTTATTTTCTCAAAAACTAGAGGAGCATTTAATTTTTAATTAGAGGCCCTAATTAGCACCTAAAAAGCACCTAATTATTATATAGATCCCGAAGTTTTTTTGCCATTCTGACACACCAACAAGTGAACGTAAAGCCAGCAGTCCCCTTATAATTAAAAAAAAATCTGTAACTCAGTTAATAATTAATCAATTCTTTTTTTTCTTCGACTATTTAGGAGCACCTAAAAAGCACTTAATTCTGATACAAAAGAAAATTTTGGAAAAATATTTTTTACTATAGGGGACTATTAGCTTTCTTAAACCTAGCAATCCCTAAGTTTTTTTTGATTTTCTCAAAAACTAGAGGAGCACCTAATATTTAATTGAAGGCCTTAATTAGCACCTAAAAAGCACCCGAAGTTTTTTTTGCCATTCTGACACACCAACAAGTAGATGTAAAGCCAGCAGTCCCCTAATAATAAAAAAAAAAATCTGTAACTCAGTTAATAATTAATCAATTCTATTTTTTCTTCGACTATTTAGGAGCACCTAAAAAGCACCTAATTCTGATACAAAAGAAAAATATTTTTCACTATAGGGGACTACTAGCTTTTATAAACCTAGCAAACCCTTAGTTTTTTTTGATTTTCTCAAAAACTAAAGGAGCACTAATTTTCAATTAGAGGCCCTAATTAGCACCTAAAAAGCACCTAATTATTATATACCGTGCGTTCGTTATTAGGGTCCGAGTTCTCCGAGCTTGACTTTACCGTTCGTTTATTTAAAAAGTGTACTCGGTGCAGCCTCGTTCGCGTTCGTTTATTAAAATTTCTGGCAGTTTTATACAGCGTTCAACTGCTCTGTTCGCTCACTGGTCACGTGATTACGGCTCCGCTCAGCACGCTCTGCTCTTTGAGCAAAATACCGAACGCAAGGATAGTTCCCAAAGTTCTTTTCCACCTTGGGACTGCTAGGTGCTAGGTTTATAGACCTCTCGAACCGCAGTACGGCTGGAACACGAACATGCGCTTGAAGCATTTGCGCGCGCAAAAGCTCGATTGCGTGCTCAAAAGCGTCAGCTGGAAAGCGGCTATATTTATAACTCTAAGCAGAGCTGCTTTCGGGTGTCACCCTTTGAGCGCTCCCGAGTTACTCCGAATTACTCCGGCTACAGTTTGACCCGTTCGGTTTCAATCGTTCGAGTGCAAAACGCATGGAGTATGACAGGTGCGCAGTGTTCTAGGAGCTTCGCACTCTGCACCCGAAAGCGGCCCAGAGCGTTGGAAAGCGCGCATTTTTAAACTCGACTAGGCTACACCAAATATATTAGAAACTATTGCTCATCGGCCTCGATTTTGGGAATCAAGTTCATGGTGTTGCACCGTTGTAACGTCATCAACGGTGTCGTTAGCGATTTGCGCCAGCGGTCGTAGTTAGGAATATACATTTATGTGATGAAAAGTAGTATTAATTCTGGATTCGCCTGATTATGTCCGTCGCATACAATGAACTATAAACTACACGTACCTGGAATGGCCCGGCCTATCTCTAAAATGCGGCAAATTGAGATGGAGAATGTAAACGCTTTCTAAATAAATAATTAATCAGTTAAAAAAAGACTTGCCTCAGACCTTAATATACAGGGTGTTTGGTACATATATTCACTCTGACTGGTTTGTGATTCCTGCAGAAACAGACCACAGACCTAATAAAAAAATTAAGGCGGCGTTCCGTATCTTAACCAGAGTTACCGACTGGTATGGAGCGGTTTGTTTATGGTGACAGTCTGGTTCCTGATTATGCGGTTTATGTGTGAAACCGCGTTTCATAACCTAACCAGATTTCAGGAGTGGTTAGGTTACGGAACGTTTACCGCAAAAACAAAGAATCTTGGTTAACTTACGGAACGCCGCCTAAATAATTCCCCCCCACCCCCGTCGTTGTCACGCTTTCCGGAGGCTGTGGCTTTTCCCCCTCGTAAATAGGAAATAGGCAACCCTTAAGTGTGTGGGCTACGAATTTTAAAAACGACGGTTTTGTGTGGTGTGTAGTACGTAGCAACGTAGTTTTACACTATTAAAATTTAAAAAAAAAATTGAAAACTTTCCAACATGACTGATGTTCGCCAAACTAAACCAAAGTCTCTGCGCAACTGCGATCCGTCGTTTTTGCTCGACCAAATTTGCTCGTCGAACAAAACCGTCAAACAAAAACGCAGTCTGTGGAGGCCTTAACACTTATATGCCGCTCAAGCTGAAAGTCAGAAGTGACACTTATACCTTGTCAAAATGATCAAAAACATTACTGTTATATATGACGTTTGAAAATAAAATAATATTAATATACCTTGAACTATTCAAGAAAACCCTAGAGCATAACAATACTACCAAACGATCTGTTATGTAGGAGGCTGTGTGAGGGCGAATCCTCACGGGCGTAATTGACGTAAGCGTAACTACTCACGTGATTCAATTTGTGCGATTTAATTGGCGGCAGTGTAGCCATCTTGAATTTTTGACATTACGCTGCCGCTACGGCAAAAAGTTGGGTTTTGTTGAACTTTTCGGCGTAATCGTGGCGGAATTGTGACGTTTGTTTTTGTAACCAAGTTATCACTAGCATTCTGCAAGAATCTTTTGATTTTCCGAAAATATATTTATACCCAAAATCTTCGTCGCATTAGTTGCAGTTTTTTTTCATATTTTTGCATTTTCACGTATATTTTCTAGAGTTCTTTGAGGCGCCTTAGCAAGTTGCTTTTAAAACTCAAAGGACAGCTTTTATGTTTAACAACTAATGCTTCTATGATAGGGATAGGTACCTAATAAACTTATACTCCTCATCATTCTTTAGGTATTTTATTTTGTCACTGTATTACTGTCCTAAGAACAATCACAGAAAACCAAAGGAAAAACTTCAACAATAAATTGGTAAATTTGAATTACAAACCTGGCAAAAAATAAACAAGACATTATTAGGAGCAGGTTAGAAAATTATTTGTGTTTTGGTTTTGATGCACTATTTACATGCGGCCCATGCGGGATGTTACGCCAAAATTGGCGTAGAATTGACGTTCATGCCGATTGCGCTAATTACGCCCGTGGGGATTCGCCCTCAGGGTGAATTCTCATGAGCGTAAGCTGACATTTCTGGCGTAATCACGTGATAATATGGTGTAATTTGATTGGTAAAATATCCAACATGGCGAATATTATAAAACCCAAGCATTTTAGCACGTGATTACGCTAGAAATGTCAACTTACGCTCATAAGAATTCGCCCTAAATGTATATTCGTATTTTAATTACGACTGCTGGTTCAAACCGCTAACGACATCGTTGATGACGTCGCAACGGGCAACACCATATTATGAACCTAATTCCAAAGATCGAGGCCGATGAGCAATCCTATGTAGTGTGTAATATCCTTGGTGTAGCCTAGCCGAGTTCTGAAATGTGCACTTTCTAACGCTGTGTTCTTTAGAGTGTTAAAATGACGATACGACCAAACGGCTTAATTTTTAAAATGTTGAAACCGAAAAATACCGGCAAGAACCGATTAATTTATATCTGGTTCTGCCTGCCCTACAACATTTCTATAAAATATGGGTTTCGTTCCGGTTCCGGTCCGCAAAAAAAAAAAAATGGTTTCGTTCCGGTTTTCCGTTCAATATCGTTCCGGTCCGGATCCCTGCTCCCTGCTCTGTAGTGACGTCACACCCACACCTAACAATCAAATCGAAATATTTAGATCATCCTTCCATTCCTTCCACACTGTTTTTGAATTCGATGTCGATATATTGAGCAGTCCTTTATATCGATGTGACTTTTATTACAAAATATCGATGTGTGAAACATCCCTACCTTTAAGACCGGTGTCATTTTTTCATTGGTTATAATTTGACAAATCTACAGCTGATTTGTTTGTTGTTGTCAAGTGAGATGAGATGATTGCGCTGGCTTAAAATCGTGTTTTTCAAATTAAAATTGCCATTTTTACTAAGTTTAATGTTAGAAACCAATTAGTAACAATCCCACGATGTTGCTTTATAGGTAAGCCCTCAATAAACCACCCATAACCATTTTTCAGTACTAACTTTTCTCATAAAATACTTGTTTTCAGGAAAAAATTAGAAGCAATACTTAGTTTATTACTAGTTGGCCTGCTAGGGTTAAAACACACTACAGCCAAGCATAAAACCAAATCAGTGACAACACTATTAGATGCGAAATGGAAACAAACACCTTTAGTACTAGAAGTTAGTGAATTCCTAGCCGATGAAAATGTTGAATTTTATTGGAATTACCTCGATTCAATTTCTGCAATGAATCCACCACTAAATCAAATAGGTAAACACTGAATCAACATCTAATTCAATTCAATAATTATTTGCATTTCTATTTTAGATAATGACAAACGAAGATATGAAACTCTCCTGGAACATGCAGCTGAGCTTTTAAGTCCATCACAATTATCAGTATTAAAACTAAGCTTATCTCTACACATTTATTCTCCCAAAGTGCAAATGTTCAAGCAAATAGCCACTGAAAAGCACTTGCCAGCATGCCAATGTGTAGCTGACGTTTTTGGCCAGTTAAGCTGTGATTTAGATGAAATAAGTAATTTAATTGAAAAGCCACCAAAAGGCTACAAAAACCCAGAACTATTCAATTTGGATAATCATTATCCTGGCTCAGCTAATCGTAGCTTAGTTGTTGTACTTTATGGCGAACTTGGTACTCTGTGCTTTTCAAATTTCCATCAGTTGCTCAAAGAAAAAGCTGTTGGTGGCAATATTGATTATGTTGTCAGGCATTTTCCACAGGTTTAGCTTTATGATTTTTCTTTGAGACTTTTTTTTCAATAGAGATTTTTTTTAGGGCGATACTGAGCAAAAATTAAGATTGTCTGGTTACGGTGTAGAGCTACAGATGAAATCAACCGAGTACAAATCCCAGGATGACAGTGAACTAACAGGGGATCAAGATTCAGGAGAATCTTCGCAAAGTGAAGAAGAAGAGGAAATTCAAGGATTTGATTTCACCAAATTAAAGTAATTTTGAAGAATGGGTTTTATAAATTTTACTTGTACTTGTATTGTGAGATTTGAAGCCAAAATCTTTGAAAAAAGAATGTCAAATGAATTGAAATTTTCAGGGATTGTAGTCCTCTACTGGGATAAGAATCACTGAAAATTTCAGATTTCTATCTCTAGTACTAAAATCGAGGGGTAGGTCACTCAGTAGAATTTGTACACCTAATTACAAATACATTCAATTACATGTATTTTTTTGTAATTGAATGAATTGAATTGTAATGGAGTGTAATTATTTGTAATTGAGCGTAATTATTTGTAATTGAGTGTAATTATTTGTAATTAAGTGTAATTAAATGTAATTGAACGTAATTGAGGTAATTAAATGTATTTTTTCAATTACATTTCAACATTTGTACACCTAATTGGGGAGTGACCTACCCCTCGACTAAAATGATGAAATTTCAATTTTTTTTCTATTGAGATTTTGTGTTTTAATAATCATTTGGGACCCCCCAAACCCCATATACTAAATTATTCTGAGATTTGGAGCCGGGTTCTATGAAAAAAGGCACTCAGAAAAATCGAAAAATTGGCAAATCACCCCAAATTGCTTAATACGATTTTATTCCTGGAACTATAAGTCCAAATGAGCTGAAATTTTCAGGGATTGTAGTCCTCTGCTGGGAAAAGAATCGCTATAAATTTCAGCTCTAATAGAAAAAAAGTTATGATCCTTTGAAGTTTACAAAAATGTAAATCATAAAGTACTAAAATGAAACACAAAACAATTTGAAATTTCAAATTTTTTTATGTTGAGATTTTGTGTCCTAACGATCATTCGGGATCCCCCAAACTCCATACAATAAATTATTTTGAGATTTGGAGCTGGATTCTATGGTAAAAGTCACTCAGAAAAATGGAATTATTGATAAATTTACTTACCCCAAATTGCTTAACACAATTTTATTTCTGGAACTATAAGTCCGAATGAGATGAAATTCTCAGGGATTGTAGCTCTCTACTGGTATAAGAATCGCTGAAAATTACAGCTTTTAATTTTTATATCTAAATGATCACTCGAGATCCCCCAAACACCATACACTAAATTATTCTGAGATTTGGAGCCGGATTCTATGAAAAAAGGACTAAGAAAAATTGATCAATTAAATTCACCCCAAATTGCTTAACGCGATTTTATTTCTGAAACTATAAGTCCAAATGAGCTGAAATTTTCAGGATTTGTAGTCCCTTACTTTGATAAGAATCGCTGGAAATTTCAGCTTTCTATCTATAATAGAATTTGAGAAATGATTCTTCAAATTCCCTTCTCCCTTCCTTAGTACTAAAACTTTCTATCTATAATAAAATTTGAGAAATGATTTTTCCGATACCCTTCTCCGTTAGTACTAAAATGATGAATTTTTTTTTTTTTTCAGGAATCTATTTCCAGACCTCAAGAAAAACTTGGACAAGTTCAAGCAACACTTAGAGGATTCTTCCAACGAATTGGCCGCTCTGAAAGTATGGCAATTCCAGGAACTCAGCTTACAAGCTGCCGAAAGGATTATGAATGCGCCTAAAGATGAGGCTTTGAAAGTTTTTACTAATATTGCTCAAAATTTTCCTATGCAAGTAAGAACTATTAAGACACTTTTATTTATCACTGATACGTAAGCAATCTTTTCCAAAGGAATGAAATTTAAAAACCCAAAATAATACAATTATATTTCCGCAGGCTAAAGCTTTAGTCAAAACCGTTGTCAGTCCAGAATTGAAAAAAGAAATGAAAATCAACTCTGACATTTTCCAATCAACATTAAACTTACAATCATCAGACACTGCCTTATTCATCAACGGAATGTTCTATGATCTCGATATTGTCGATATTTATGCAATTTTAGACGTTTTAAGGCAGGAACTGAAAACTATGGAAGGTACAAACATAATCAATGTTATTTTCAATTAACAAAACCTATTTTTATAAATAGGTTTGCACGATTTGGGTTTGAGCGACAAAAAGCTTAGATCGCTCTTGCATTTGGACTTCAGCGAAAGCGGAAGCACTTCAGATTTCGCTCTGGATATAAGAGACTCCGCTATAAGTTGGCTCAATGATATCGAAACAGACTCAAAGTTCAGATATTGGTCTAACAGCCTAATGGATCTTTTACGGCCAACTTTTCCTGGAATGCTCAGGCAAATTAGGAAAAATTTATACAATTTGGTGCTCATCATTGACCCTACTGATCCAACAATTCGTCCACTCCTTAAAATCGTTGAATCCTTTGTGGTACACGCTACCCCTATTAGAACAGGCCTAGTTTTCAAAGTAGAATCTTCTAAATCAGTAACAGGCTTAGAAAATGCAGGTGTTGCTATGTTGTGCGCCTACAACTATGTACAACAATTGAAAGATGGGCCTACAGCTTTTGCGTTTTTAAGAACTGTTATGGGAAGTAGTGACGGAGAAAAAGTTACTGTAGATGATGTGGCAAGAGAACTACGTTCTCAGTTCAATGAAGATCCACAAGATATTTTAGGTGATGATTCTGATTACGATTTCGGGCGGCAATTGTCGCAAGATTTTATTGAAAGAATCGGTTCCACCACATTTCCTCAGGCACTAATGAATGGAATTCCATTGCCTCAAGATAAAATTAATATTGAGGATTTCGAGGAAGTTGTGCTACAAGAAGTCATGTCACAAACTGCTCAATTTCAAAAGGCAGTTTACAGGGGCAAACTTACAGACAGTCAAAATGTAATCGATTATATTATGGATCAGCCAAATGTAATGCCTCGTTTAAATGACAGAATTTTAAATAAGGAAAAATCGTTTTATTTGGAAATGTCTGGTAAAACAGCCAGCAGTAACAATATGCAAACTGTATTGCAACAAAGTGTACAGGATCACGTTAAATATTTCACTGTGCCTAAAAAAGGGACCCAATATCATTCCATAACTTATTGGATTGTTGCTGATTTGGAGTGTCCTAAAGGCAGGAAATTGCTTTTGGATGCTTTGGAACACTTGAAATCTGAAAGTGATGTTCGGGTTAGTTTTTTGCCCAACGTTGATGAGGAAAAGAAAAATGTTTTTAACAAACTTGTATTGGCCTCTTTGGAAGTTTTACCTGCGGATAAAGCCCTTGCATTGGTGCTGTCACTGTTGAGAAATCAGGAAAGCTACAAGAAATTGGAGGCAGGAGATAAGTTGGATATTCCGGTAAGATTGGTTTTGGAGTGTTTGAGATTGTAATGCATGATAAATTTTTAGTCTGAGGTGTGGGCTAAACTTGATTCCCAAGTGAAACACTTGAAAATGTTTCGCCTTTATAATGAAAATGTTCTAAAGCTTCAAGAAGGCGAGAGAGTGGTCATTGCTAATGGTAGAGTCCTTGGCCCGTTGGGTAAAAAAGAAACATTTTCGCAAGAGGATTTTGCACTTTTAGAACGTTACAGTAGCGCTACCTATCTTGATAAAATTAATAAAGTGTTTGAACAATCAGATGATGATGATGATAATGGTAAAGAGGTTGCTTTTTTAATCAGTTCATGTATATTGTTATGTTTAATTTTAGTCATTACCGGCGATACAATAATGAAACTGGAACCTCTATTAGTATCAAAAGCCTCAATCAAATCTCGTTTCGATATATCTTACAGCTCAGATGAATACTCTGTTGTAAAAATACCTGCAAAATATCCGGATAGGGTGGCCTTTGATTTGGTAGCCATTGTAGATCCTGTTTCGAGAGGAGCTCAAAAAATTGGGCCTATTTTGCAAATTTTACAAGAGGTGCTCAATTGTAATATTAAATTGTTTTTGAATAGTGTGGAGAAAAATAGTGATATGCCAGTGAAAAGGTAATAAGTTTTTTTTTTTTGTGGAAAATGTTGATCTTCATATAAAAATTACAGTTTCTATCGTTTTGTCTTGGATCCTGAAATCCAATTCACAGAAGAGGGTAAACAATTGCCAGGTCCCATTGCAAGATTCAACAATATGCCATCCTCGCCTCTGCTCACTCAAAACTATCATGTGCCTGAAAATTGGCTTGTCGAAGTTGTACGTTCTGTATATGATTTGGACAATATTCGCTTGGAAAACGTGGAAAGCAATGTCCACAGTGAATACGAGCTAGAATACTTACTCCTGGAAGGGCATTGTTTTGAGCAAAACACTGGCAGCCCTCCAAGAGGGCTGCAAATTACTTTGGGCACTGAAAACCAACCTGTCATCCTTGACACTATAGTGATGGCTAATTTGGGGTATTTTCAATTGAAAGCCAACCCTGGAGCTTGGCTGTTGAGGCTCAGGCAGGGTAGAAGCGCCGATATTTATGATATTGTTAGGTGAGGACTTGATAATTTGAAGCAATTTTTCCAAATTTTTTATCTTTAGCCATGAAAACACAGACACACCGCAAAATTCAACTGATATTAAAGTGCTGATTAGCCAGTTAAGGTCACATATTGTTAAATTGAAAGTGCAAAAGAAGCCTGACAAGTACAACTTGGATTTGTTGTCAGAGGATGATGGTAATGGTGGAATATGGAATTCTATTACAAGGTAAGTTGGAAAATTGAGTTACAAGTGACATAGAAAGATTATGATTTCAAACTTATTCAACTCGTATAATCTGGGGTATTGTCACGGTCACGACTCTGGGTTGCGTGACAAAAATCTTGGGTTCGTTTTTTCCAAAATCAAAGTCCAATTAATACAGCAGTAATTTATGCCACGTTACTATACATACACTCTGACACTAATTAACTCAAACAACTTTTTACAACTCTCAACAATATTCACTATCTAAATCGTATCGTCTAACAGCCAAACTTAAACTTAAACTACTAACTAATACCGGCCTTTATATATCCGTAAATCTATTCATGTTAAATCCAAAATACACGCGATAATCCCATGCTCGAGAAAAAGCTTTTTCTGGAATTTTGGCATATCCTGGATACTGTGGCAAAAGCGTATCATAAATTGTAACAGTATAATGACTTACTTATATTATTGCACTGTAAGAAAATTACTTATATTGCAGTGTTAATACTACTTCACAGGAGTGCAGTAATGATGTCTACATTCCACTTGTTAATAATAATAATCATTTGATATTTTAATATGTAATTTACTGGACTGGACTGGTCTTGATCCGGAAAATAGCTCCCCAACAATCAATATGTCTTTACCACACTACTCTGAAAACTTCTTTACCGTACTGGAATAATAAAATTTACCTATTGACATTCTTTTAGTTCTTTTGGTGGCAAAGAAGAAGAAACTGAAGAAAAACTAAACATTTTCTCAGTAGCCTCAGGCCATTTATACGAAAGATTCCTGAAAATAATGATGCTTTCGGTGCTGAAACAAACAAAAACTCCTGTCAAATTTTGGTTTTTGAAAAATTACCTTTCGCCCCAAATCAAAGATTTCCTACCGTACATGGCCAAACAGTACGGTTTCGAATACGAGCTGGTACAGTACAAGTGGCCCAGATGGTTGACCCCTCAAACAGAAAAACAAAGAATCATATGGGGCTATAAGATTTTGTTTTTGGATGTACTTTTCCCATTGGACGTTAAGAAAATCATTTTTGTTGATGCTGATCAGGTATTTATTTATTTTTAAAATATTTCAATAATTGTGTTAAAATTTTGAATTTAGGTTGTCAGAACTGATATGAAAGAATTGCGTGATTTTGATCTTGGTGGGGCGCCTTACGGTTATACACCATTCTGTGATTCTCGCACAGAAATGGACGGATTTAGATTCTGGAAGCAAGGATATTGGAGAAATCACTTACAAGGCACTAAACTTATATAATATCACCAAATTTCTACTTATTAGTTATTATTTGTAGGAAGAAGATATCATATTTCAGCTCTTTATGTAGTGGATCTGAAAAAATTCAGGAGAATTGCAGCTGGTGATAGACTCAGAGGCCAATATCAGGCTCTTAGTCAAGATCCTAATAGTTTATCAAATTTGGACCAAGATTTACCCAATAACATGATCCATCAGGTTGCTATAAAATCCTTGCCGCAGGATTGGTTGTGGTGCGAAACTTGGTGCGATGATTCTTCAAAAACTAGAGCTAAAACCATTGATTTGGTAATTTTTAGTATACAATTTAATTGATTTTGTTTAATTTTTTTGGGGTTTTAGTGTAATAATCCGTTAACCAAAGAAGCCAAATTGTCGGCTGCCATAAGAATATTGCCAGAATGGAAAGGGTATGATGATGAAATAAGAGAGTTGCAAAAGAAAATCGATTCGGGTTTGTTGGATGACGATCCTGCTGCTGAGAGTACTATCATTGAAAAAGGTGAATTAAACATTTAATTTTGATTAATAAATAATAAATATATTTTTCTACAAACTTAATTACAGATACGACTGATATACATTCGGAACTATAAGTATAAGGATAAATAATTTAAATTAATAATGTAAATTGGTGATTATGTACAGTAAGTAATTTTTGTTTTCAGTAAAAATAGGTGAATGTCGTGATGCTAGGTTGTAATATTTACATCTTTTTTAAGTGATATTTTTTGAAAAATAAAGATCCTAGGTAATATTTTCAGTGCATATTTTTCTTGGAATGTATCCATAAAGGAATGTGGTTGAAATTTCTAATACTTATTCCTTACTACTAAATACTAAAAGTGAAATACAATTATTCAGCAAATTGATGGCAAGTTTACAAGCTACCAATCTAATAAAGCTTCATTTAATACTGGGATACAATTATAAACATTCATACACTTGCGTCATTGTTCGGCAAATTTTACACTTTACGTAGCAACAATTGTAAAATTTGCACTGGCACCTTTCGATTTTTTCCTCGACGACCGTGCGGTAGCCTCGGCCGCAGCATAGGACTCTACAACTGTCCAGACTGGCTGAGGAAACATTACAATGTCTGAAAAATAAAACAGAGAATATTGAGGTAAGAAATTTTGCATGTTTTGATAGAATCTAACTTGAAATCTAGAAAATACGGCTTTATTCGAAAAGATTATCGCGTTTATTTTGGATTTCACACGAATAGATTGCGGATATATGAAAGCCGGTATTAGTAGTTTTAAGTTTAAGATTGACTGGTGATACGATTTAGATAGTGAATTTTGTAAAGAGTTAAGTTGTTTGAGTTAATTATTAGTAAAGTAATTAGTGTCAGAGTGTGTAGTAACGCGTAATAGATTATTGTTGTGTTAATTTTGCTTTGATTTTGAAATAAACGAACCCAATATTTCTGTCACGCACTCCAGAGCTGTGACAATATCATATCGAGATAACCCTAAGTAGAAGTTTGTTCCATAAAACCTTAATAATTTAACACTGAAGTCAATAAAATATCAATTCCAAGAATCTATTTTACTCATGTATCTTCAAGAAATTGAGTTGTAAGTAACTATGACTCAAATTCTCATAAAATATGTTTTAGAGCTATTTTTCCGAAATTTAGAAAGTTTCCTTTACAACTTGACAATATTATTAATCTTGAAGGAATCTTTGTAGAATAATGATTCCCAAAAAAAAATCATCAACCATCTTCTTGACCCGGATTGAGAAGATGAACCGTTAAATTTCATACAAATTAGGTCTTAAGAAAGCCCACACCTCACCTAGAGATTTTTTTAATAATGATGATTTTCAAAAGAAGGTAGAAAAAGTGGTTGGTTTTACCAAAGATTTATTATCGCTAATTATAGATAATAAGCCTCCTGGCCGCTCTATATAAAAAACTAGTCGGTGTTTACTGCGGTATTTGTTTGTGTGGAACGTACCCGAATTAAAATTCCTTTGTGGCCGATCCTGTTCTACCGAGAAATTATTAAATTACCAACAAAGAAACAATACCGCCATGAAAATAAATCTGTACATTCTTACCTTCCGACCGTTCCAAAACTACCCAGCTTTTCATCTCTGGTACAATAATCGGGCGATTTGGACATGTAAACCAACTGATCGGAATTTATCGGTTTTTTATTGCCAACCCTCGCTTCTAATCGATCGACTACAGTTTTCGAAACTTCTTTGGCTGTTGTATATTTTTGGAGCAGCTGCTGACCAATTTCTACTATCAATGGCAACGCTCTCCAACAAGTTTTGATGTTGCACGAACCTGATACTCCATGACATTTGCATTGAGTACGTAAACTTGAGGTGATTACCTATAATAGAATTTGAATGGTGGTTGAATACTCATATTATCTTATGAAGTGACTATTACCTTTCTTCCAACTTTATTATTATGCAAATTAATAAAAGCAGCTTCATCTTTAAGGATTTTACTTTCTTCTTTAGCCACATCTTTGGACCTTTTCGTTTTGTCCTTTTTGACCAAAGCGTGTTTTTCGACGTTGTCGATAAAACGTTTGGCAAATTGCGAGGCCCATCTAAAATTAAATTTGTTAAAAAAAATTGTATCGTTGTAGTGTTGCTATATTACCTCACATTGTCGCCACAGCCGCCCCATTGGAAGTTGTCCGAATTCGGACTGTTTGGTCGTCCAGCGCAAGTGCATTGGTGTAGATTTCCGTTGGAACATGCACGTGCCAGAGTGTAGGTAAGTGCTGCTGAGCTTATAGCGTAGACGTAGGCTTGTTCGCGTGTTGCTATAAAATGGAAATATGTATTAAGTTGATGTCTCAGCCGAGATCATACCAAAAACTCAGACGAAGGTGGCATGATGTCATTATTGAGTTAGAGTGAAGTTGGACTGAATACATTGACAGTTAAGACAATACCAGATGGACAAAATGTGGAAAATTCACGTTAAAGAAATTGGAAAATTCACGTTAAATCAAATTTGAAAAAGCCTGAAAAATACTTCCGAGTATCAGATCGACTTGAAACTTTCAGGATTCATCAACCAGGATCTTTCTATTAAACAAGATGAATTTGAAGTCAATTTGAGGCTCAGAAATAAAATTATGAGGGTTTTTTCAACTTAATACCAGAAAAAGCTGGAAAATTTATGTTAAATCACATTTGAAAAATCCTGAAAAATACTTCGGAGTATCTGATCAATTTCAAACTTTCAGGATTTATTAATTAGGATGTTTTCATCAAACAAGGCAAATTTGAAGTCAATCTGAAGCTCGGAAATAAAACTATGAGGTTTTTTCCAACTTAATACCAGGAAAAGTTGGAAAATTCACGTTAAATCAAATTTGAAAAAGCCTGAAAAATACTTCGGAGTATCAGATCAATTTCAAACTTTCAGGATTTATTAACCAGGATGTTTTCATCAAACAAGGCAAATTTGAAGTCAATCTGAAGCTCAGAAATAAAATTATGAGGTTTTTTCCAACTTGATACCAAAAAAAGTTCGAAAGTTCACGTTAAATCAACTTTGAAAAATCCTGAAAAATACTTCTGAGTATCAGATCGACTTGAAACTTTCAGGATTCATTAACCAGGATCTTTTTATCAAACAAGGTAAATTTGAAGTCAATTTGAGGCTCAGAAATAAGATTATGCGGTTTTTCCCAACTGAATACCAGAAAAAGTTGGAAAATTCACGTTAAAACACATTCGAAAAATCCTGAAAAATACTTCGGAGTATCTGATCAATTTCAAACTTTCAGGATTTATTAATTAGGATGTTTTCATCAAACAAGGCAAATTTGAAGTCAATCTGAAGCTCGGAAATAAAACTATGAGGATTTTTCCAACTTAATACCAGGAAAAGTTGGAAAATTCACGTTAAATCAACTTTGAAAAAGCCTGAAAAATACTTCGGAGTATCAGATCAATTTCAAACTTTCAGGATTTATTAACCAGGATGTTTTCATCAAACAAGGCAAACTTGAAGTCAATCTAAAGCTCAGAAATAAAATTATGAGGTTTTTTCCAACTTGATACCAAAAAAAGTTCGAAAGTTCACGTTAAATCAACTTTGAAAAATCCTGAAAAATACTTCTGAGTATCAGATCGACTTGAAACTTTCAGAATTCATTAACCAGGATCTTTTTATCAAACAAGGTAAATTTGAAGTCAATTTGAGGCTCAGAAATAAGATTATGCGGTTTTTCCCAACTGAATACCAGAAAAAGTTGGAAAATTCACGTTAAAACACATTCGAAAAATCCTGAAAAATACTTCGGAGTATCTGATCAATTTCAAACTTTCAGGATTTATTAATTAGGATGTTTTCATCAAACAAGGCAAATTTGAAGTCAATCTGAAGCTCGGAAATAAAACTATGAGGATTTTTCCAACATAATACCAGGAAAAGTTGGGAAATTCACGTTAAATCAACTTTGAAAAAGCCTGAAAAATACTTCGGAGTATCAGATCAATTTCAAACTTTCAGGATTTAGTAACCAGGATGTTTTCATCAAACAAGGCAAACTTGAAGTCAATCTAAAGCTCAGAAATAAAATTATGAGGTTTTTTCCAACTTGATACCAAAAAAAGTTCGAAAGTTCACGTTAAATCAACTTTGAAAAATCCTGAAAAATACTTCTGAGTATCAGATCGACTTGAAACTTTCAGGATTCATTAACCAGGATCTTTTTATCAAACAAGGTAAATTTGAAGTCAATTTGAGGCTCAGAAATAAGATTATGCGGTTTTTCCCAACTGAATACCAGAAAAAGTTGGAAAATTCACGTTAAAACACATTCGAAAAATCCTGAAAAATACTTCGGAGTATCTGATCAATTTCAAACTTTCAGGATTTATTAATTAGGATGTTTTCATCAAACAAGGCAAATTTGAAGTCAATCTGAAGCTCGGAAATAAAACTATGAGGATTTTTCCAACATAATACCAGGAAAAGTTGGGAAATTCACGTTAAATCAACTTTGAAAAAGCCTGAAAAATACTTCGGAGTATCAGATCAATTTCAAACTTTCAGGATTTATTAACCAGGATGTTTTCATCAAACAAGGCAAACTTGAAGTCAATCTAAAGCTCAGAAATAAAATTATGAGGTTTTTTCCAACTTGATACCATAAAAAGTTCGAAAGTTCACGTTAAATCAACTTTGAAAAATCCTGAAAAATACTTCCGAGTATCAGATCGACTTGAAACTTTCAGGATTTATTAACCAGGATCTTTTTATCAAACAACTTGAATTTGAAGTCGATCTGAAGCTCAGAAATAAAATTATGAGGTTTTTTTCCAACTTAATACTGAAAAAAATTGGAAAATTCACGTTAAATTACCTTTGAAAAATCATGAAAAATACTTCGGAGTATTAGATCGATTTCAAACTTTTAGGATTTATTAACCAGGATCTTTTTATCAAACAAGGTGAATTTAAAGTCAATCTGAAGCTCAGAAATCAAATTATGAGTTTTTTTCCAACTTGATACCAGAAAAAGTCATCAACTTTGAAAAATCCTAAAAAATACTTCAGAGTATCAGTATCAGATCGACTTAAAACTTTCAGGATTGATTAACCAGGATTTTTTTTATCAAGCAAACTAAATTTGAAGTCAATTTGAACCTCAGAAATAAAATTATGAGTTTTTTTCTAACTTAATTTCAGGAAAAGTTGGTAAATTCACTTTAAATCAACTTTGAAAAATCCTAAAAAATACGTCAGAGTATCAGATCGACTTGAAACTTTCAGGATTCATTAACCAGGATCTTTTTATGAAGCAAACTAAACTTGAAGTCAATTTGAAGCTCAGAAATAAAATTATGAGGTTTTTTCTAACTTAATACCAGAAAAACTTGGAAAATTCTCGGTAAATCACCTTTAAAAAATCCTGAAAAATAGGGAGAGTGTTGTACCTTGACACATTTTTCCATTTTTTTTTTTTTTCGAAATTTTTTAGAATACATTGATATACTCATGACCAGCTGTTAGTTGGCTATTCAGGACTAATTTTTCAAAAATTTTATGCAATGTTATCACATTGATATCTCAAAGATAATTGATGTTTGGAAATTGTCCCAAGGTGCAACCTTGGGTCAGTACTAATTGTACCTTGGGAAAACACTAATTGTACGCTGGAATGACAAAATAATAAATCTCCAAAAGGTGTTTCACATATTTATTGTTACCTACATATTATAAGACCTGAAGTCTACTGAATAGCAGAGTTGTTCCATTCAGCGATCTGATCCTTCAACCACTGGTTGGTTTGTGTAGTTTTCTGGAAATGTCTGATTCATCGATTTCGTAAGTGTCTCTATTGTTGACAAATTTATTACTGTTCATTATCTTTTCAAGATAAACCCCTTCGAAACATCCTTTTCCCATTTTTTTCTTTATTTCTACAATGTAATGACGCACGATTTTTCGCTTTAAATTCTACTAGTACAAAGTCTCCTTCCAATATCTTGACCTTTTCTATATCCGTTTCCTGTTCTATTTCCGTATTTTCTTCTTCGACTAGTTTTTCAAAATTATCATCTTCATCACTGCTAGAATTCTGCAGAGGTATTTTGGTATTGTCAACGTCGAAGCTATCTTCGAAAACCTTTTTGGTCACTTTTCGAACTTTGTTTTTGGACTTTTTGGCCTGTTTTTTTAAATATTCAATTTCCATTTAATTTTTTTCCGTCAATAGCCTGGATTTTCCCTTCTTTTTTCCTCCTTTGGTCTTTTTAGGTCCAGCCTTTGGATATGGCCTTATCATTTCAGGGCTCACTAAATTTACCTGTCTTAGACATATTTTGAGATTGATGTAATGGTCCAGGTTCGTCAAAATTTTCAGTCTGTGCCATAACGTTATTTTCAATGTCAGTCTCTGGTATAGGTATATGGAAATATTCGTCTTCACCGAATATTTTCGTATTGAGAGGATAAATACCTACTACAGAAAACCCCTTTGTGATGTTCTGTTGAGTGAACGCCTTCGGATATGCTTTTCCAACAATTTCCGCTATGTGGTACAGGGTTATTGGTTTTCCTGGATTTTGGAGCATCTATTCACTGACAGCTTGATTAGAATAAGTCTTATAGGGCCCAAGCACAGTTCAATCCAAAGGTTGAAGCTTGTGCGAAGTATGTGGCGGAAATGTAAGTTACACAACACAACAATACCAAAAGAAGTTGGAAAATTCACGTTAAATCGCCTTTCAAAAAATCCTGAAAAATACTTCAGAGTATCAAATCGACTCGAAACTTCCAGGATTCATTAACCAGATTGTTTTTATCAAACAAGGTGGATTTGAGTTCAATCTCAAGCTCAGAAATAAAATTATGAGGTTTTTTCCAACTTGATACCAGAAAAAATTGGAAAATTTATGTTAAATCATATTTGAAAAATCCTGAAAAATGTTTCGGAGTATCAGATCGATTTCAAACTTTCAGGATTTATCAATCAGTATGTTTTTGTTAAGCAAGGTAAATTTGAAGTCAATTTGAGGCTTAGAAATAAAATTATGAGGTTTTTTCCACCTTAAAACCCGAAAAAGTTGGGAAATTTACGTTAAATCACCTTTGAAAAATCCTGAAAAATACTTCAGAGTATCAGATCGACTTGAAACTTTCAGGATTCATTAACCAGGATTTTTTCATCAAACAAGGTAAATTTGAAGTTATTCTGAAGCACATAAAAAAAATTATGAGGTTTCTTCCAACCAAATACCAGAAAAAGTTGGAAAATTTACGTTACATCACCTTTGAAAAATCCTGAAAAATACTTCGGAGTATCAGATCGACTTGAAACTTTCAGGATTTATTAACCAGGATTTTTTCATCAAACAAGATAAATTTGAAGTCAATTTGAGGCTCAGAAATAAAATTATGAGGTTTTTTCCAACTTGATACCAGAAAAAGTTGGAAAATTTACGTTAAATCACATTTGAAAAATCCTGAAAAATACTTCGGAGTATCAGATCGATTTCAAACTTCCAGAATTTATCAATCAGGATGTTTTTGTTAAACAAGGTAAATTTGAAGTCAATTTGACGTTTAGAAATAAAATTATGAGGTTTTTTCCAGCTTAATACCAGAAAAAGTTGGAAATTTTACGTTAAATCACATTTGAAAAATCCTGAAAAATATTTCGGAGTATCAGATCGATTTAAAACTTTCAGGATTTATCAATCAGGCTGTTTTTGTTAAGCAAGGTAAATTTGAAGTCAATTTGAGGCTTAGAAATAAAATTATGAGGCTTTTTCCACCTTAAAACCCGAAAAAGTTGGGAAATTTAGGTTAAATCACCTTTGAAAAATCCTGAAAAATACTTCAGAGTATCAGATTGACTTGAAACTTTCAGGATTCATTAACCAGGATTTTTTCATCAAACAAGGTAAATTTGAAGTCATTCTGAAGCACAGAAAAAAAATTATGAGGTTTTTTCCAACCAAATACCAGAAAAAGTTGGAAAATTTACGTTACATCACCTTTGAAAAATCCTGAAAAATACTTCAGAGTATCAGATCGACTTGAAACTTCCAGGATTTATTAACCAGGATTTTTTCATCAAACAAGGTAAATTTTAAGTCAATTTGAGGCTTAGAAATTAAATTATGAGGTTTTTTTCCAACTTATTACCAGAAAAAGTTGGAAAATTTACGTTAATCACTTTTGAAAAATCCTGAAAAATACTTCGGAGTATCAGATCGACTTGAAACTTTCAGGATTCATTAACCAGGATCTTTTCATCAAACAAGGTATATTTGAAGTCAATTTGAGGCTCAGAAATAAAATTATGAGGTTTTTTCCAACTTGATACCAGAAAAAGTTGGAAAATTTACGTTAAATCACATTTGAAAAATCCTGAAAAATACTTCGGAGTATCAGATCGATTTCAAACTTTCAGAATTTATCAATCAGGATGTTTTTGTTAAACAAGGTAAATTTGAAGTCAATTTGACGCTCAGAAATAAAATTATGAGGTTTTTTCCAACTTGATACCAGAAAAAGTTGGAAAATTTACGTTAAATCACTTTTGAAAAATCCTGAAAAATACTTCAGAGTATCAGATCGACTTGAAACTTTCAGGATTCATTAACCAGGATTTTTTCATCAAACAAGGTAAATTTGAAGTCATTCTGAAGCACAGAAAAAAAATTATGAGGTTTTTTCCAACCAAATACCAGAAAAAGTTGGAAAATTTACGTTACATCACCTTTGAAAAATCCTGAAAAATACTTCAGAGTATCAGATCGACTTGAAACTTCCAGGATTTATTAACCAGGATTTTTTCATCAAAATTTTAAGTTAATTTGAGGCTTAGAAATTAAATTATGAGGTTTTTTCCAACTTGATACCAGAAAAAGTTGGAAAATTTACGTTAAATCACTTTTGAAAAATCCTGAAAAATACTTCAGAGTATCAGATCGACTTGAAACTTTCAGGATTCATTAACCAGGATTTTTTCATCGAACAAGGTAAATTTGAAGTCAATCTGAAGCACAGAAAAACAAATGAGGCTTTTTCCAACTTAATACCAGATGAAGTTGGAAAATTCAGGTTAAATCGCCTTTCAAAAAATCCTGAAAAATACTTCAGAGTATCAGAACGACTTGAAACTTTCAGGATTCATTAACCAGGATCTTTTCATCAAACAAGGTATATTTGAAGTCAATTTGAGGCTCAGAAATAAAATTATGCGGTTTTTTCCAACTTGATACTAGTTTCATGTTATATCATCTTTGAAAAATCAATCAGATTGACATCAGATTCTCAGGATTCATTAACTAGAATCTTTTCATCGAACAGAGCAAATCTGACATCGATCTGAAGCTCAGAAATAAAATTATGAGGTTTTTTCAACTTGATACCAAAAAACTTGTAAAATTCGTTCTGAATCATCTTTGAAGAATCCTGAAAAATACTGAAAGTATTGGATCGACTTGAAACTTTTAGGAATTTACTCATGAAATGTACTTTCTACCCATTAATTTTCAGTGGAATTCCAGTAGGATTTCGTTAAAAGTGGGATTCTGGTGTACCTATTTTTCAAGGTAGTTTACCGTTTACCCATCCAGTCGCCTCGAATATGGAAAAACCAAATTTTTTTTTAGATTTACAGTATTAGATAATGGACAATTTTCAATGCAATGAAAAATCGATTTTCTCTAATATTTTATCAATCAGTTAAAGTGGATTTAATTTATTTAAAACTGGAAACTTTCTAGCAAAATTAGTTACAGTTCACTGCAGATTACCTTTACCTAATTGAATTGAATGATAACTTCCAAAAACTTTCTATGAGAGAAGCTTTTGAAATTGGCAGCGTAATGAATGATGGAAATAATTAAAACTTGAAAGTTTTCGGCAGGCTCTTTTATCGAAAAGATTTCCGTAAAGTAAAATCAATGTTGTGATCTCTATCAAAAGAAAAAGCTTTTATAAGATCTCTTCAATTCACTCAGCCGAGATTGTTTCTCGCTAAAGAAAAAAAAGGAATTCTTTTCAATACACCGATAAAAACTTCCCTGGGTCATCTCGAATTCCAAACACGCCGTCCGGGTAACCGAAGTAAATAAAAAGGGATCCCTCTTTCGCCATTTGCGCCTAATGAAAGTGCATTTTCCTAAACGTGACCAATTTAGTTTTGGAGGGGACAAAGTTTGATTTACTCTGACCTAGATTCCAGGCTCTTACCTCTAGTCAAATCGGGCGTTAAATAGGGTGCCGTAATTATCGAAGAACAATTCCATCTTCTGTCGCTGAAAACTTTTCTGCACGTTTCCGATGCCAAACTGGCCGCGTTTTGGATGTGCGGCATCGTTTCCATTGCGTTGCGACATAGTTTTGCTTGGATTTTGACTAGACCATACCTGAAATGATTTAATTGATAACTGGTTATGTTTTGGAAAGAATTTGAAGATCATTTTACCTTCTTCTAGCTAATGTACAAGGAGATCGTACCCCTGACCGAATCCCGCGTCCGTGATTGTTGTTGACAGAGCTCAAGTTCCAGTTCAGATGCGAGTGTTGTAGAGATCTGAAAATTATATAAGAACTATAAATCACGGCAATAAAGCATAATCCTTACTAATAAGTTAAGGGCCGCAGCAATTAATAACCAGCTTAATAACAGAAAACAACACCTCTGGCTCTGTGTGGTGGATATGTTATCTTAATTTGCTAGAATACCAGAGGTGGGTAATAATTCACCAACTACGCTGACGTTTTAACCTCTATAAATTACCAAGTCGTTTTCTCTTTACGTTTTTTTTTTTTTTTTTGACATTGCATGATCCGAAATTGTTTTAGAGGCGCGCACGCAAAAACAACATTAGATTTATTCGGAACAACGGCAATTAGTTACCTTCAAAAAGATACGTCAACAAATCTGGATGGTTAATTGGAGTACTTATATAAAAATCCAAAACGTCGCCTTTCTACATGTGATTTATTGCGGTTTATCAATCTGTAATTATCTTTAGAAGATTTTTATCGGAGATTCTTCCTACGCGTGAGAGACCAGGCCCATGTTTGCACGCTTAAGACAATAGATCCACGCACACAGGAAACGTATCATTTTTAGATTATTTGAGTAGATTTATAATTACGGTTGTAAACCTAAATCAACATTTGTTTTTGATAATTATTATTCTAGGCGTATTAAAGGTTAATGCATTTAGTGCGTAAGGTGCGCCGCCCAAATACACCCATATGATTCATTAGTTATATGCCTTAAGAACCCTTTCTTCAGCTAAACAAAAATCGAAACTTTTGGAAATGAAAATTGTAGCTCATGTTATAAAATGAAATAAACCGGAAGCCCAAGAGACAAGATGTGAAGTATTTTCAACTTAACTGAATCGTTTTTAGAAGAAATTGAGCTTTCAATATAAAAAAATTGACATTTCACTTATCGACTTTGAGAAATGAGAAATTTGAGCAATTCTCATAAAGTGGAATAAACCGGAGAACGATATTTAATCTAGAAGCCTAGTTATGGGTTCTTTCTCAACTTAGCTCATTTTTTTCAAAAATAGAGCTTTGACTCTGTACCAGAAATACATTTCACTGAGTTCTGAACTTTTTTGCAAGTCACCGTCCAAAAGAGATCAACTTCGTCCGCGTGTTAGTGAGAACCCAAGAGACAACTACATCCCTCCGTCCGTCCAATAAAAAAGTTCGTCCACACTTTAGAGCTGCCAATCACGTCAGTCATGTCAGCTGAAGAAATACTCAACGAACTAGCCAATGAGCAGCACAATCTGGGAACATACATTGACATACATACATTGACAATCGCACTGCTACACTAGAAAAAGTATGGAAAAAAATTCAAATTAGAGATGAAGAAATTATGAAATGTGGAATTCCAGAACCAGAGCCGCAACTAGGGGGTGGCGAACTAGGCGCCCGCCTAGGGCGCCGTAGTATCGAGGCGCCCAAGGCGCCTAGTTTAATCCATCCAGGGATTGTAGTCCTTTAAGTGGGATAGAATTCAGTGAAAGTTCCAGCTTTCTATCTATAATAGAAAAAAAGTTATGACCTTCCAAAGTTTTCCAAAATCTAAATCATAAGCTAGGTACCTTCTTACTAAAACGATGACATTTCAAATTTTTTTTTTGTCGAGATTTTGTATCCTAATGGTCAATCAACATCCCCTAAAGTCAATACACCAAATTATTCTCAGATTTGAAGCCGAAATCTATGAAAAAAGGCACTCAGAAAAATTGAAAAATTGGTAAATCACCTTAAATTGCTTCACGATTTTATCTCAGGAACTATAAGTGCAAATGACCTGAAATTTTCAGGGATTGTAGTCCCTTAATTGGGATAAAATTCAGTGAAAGTTTCAGCTTTCTATCTATAAAAGAAAAAAAGTTATGACAAAATTTTTCCAAAATCTAAATCATAGGGTAAGTACCTTCTTACTAAAACGATGAAATTTCAAAAAAAAATTTGTCGAGATTTTGTATCCTCAGAACACGCGCTCACTTCAGCAACAACTACTTTCAACAGCTAGAAGATAAATATCAAGAAGCAAAGAACAGGTTGAAAAACTGTGCAAAAGCTACAACCACTCAACCACCTGCTGGTCAGACTTCAACAAACACCCTTTAAGATCAACGTTTAAAAAAGCAGAACTTTAAACTTCAACAGCTAGAGGGAGATTTGAACCAAATCGAATTCGAGCTAATTGAAGAAAAATCGAAGTCTTGCTATCAGCTACAGCTGGAAAAAACCAAAAAACAATGGGGCGCCATCCAAGACATACATGAAGAAATAATGATATCTGAAGATATCTTTCAGAATGAATAACTTCCCTGAAAATCCATACAATGAAATGCAGCACGAAAATATCACTGAAAAACTAAGAATCAGAATATAAGAAGACAAGACGCACTTACTCCAGTCCCTCAAGTGATGGTAAATCAACATCTAGCAATTCCCAAGATTCCGATTCCAACTTTCCATGGAGAATACGAGGATTGGTTCACATTTTACGAACTTTTAACAAGAGTAATCCATGAGAGTTACGTGGTGACTAAAGCCGAAAAAATGCAGTATCAGTTGTAGTATAACATACCCGGATTCGTTCAGTAAGATTGAACGATGAGATTTTCTATTACCTAACAAATCTTCTGAAAAACGAAATGAAAAACCAATAGGACCTACGTTGTGGAAATTTACTCAATTTTACTTACTGGACATGCGTCCGACAGCAAATATTTGGAAAATTTAAGGGAAGCTGTGATATGTAAAAAAAAACGAAAAATTTGTGAAACGTCTACTTTATTATTAATGTAAATCGTACCGTTCTCATCCTGGAACTAACGAGGGGAAAGAGCACGGCAGAGAAACCCTCGATCTAACATTCCTCAAAAATCGCAACATACTGTGTCGTTTTTATAATAACTGTGAGTCATTATTCAATAATTTAATTCAATAAAAGTTTTAATTAGGTACCGTCCTTGGTCTTTGTGCTAAAATTTTAATTACACACACAACATTCGATCAACACTGCCTATGTTCAATACTGAAGAGTTTTTGGTTAGTTAGCCAGTTTCCCAGCAAGTACTGAGGTCCCATACGGGAAGCTACTCAGCTATAGTTGTTTTTGAGCCAATATCTCTAGATTGATTATTTCAATTTGCTAGGATATTCTCTCGTCAGGGTAGGAAAATGTTAGTAAATTCAACAAGGCCCTAATGCACGCTCTAAATCCAAAAATAAAAATCCTGGCTCACAAAACAGCACATCATTTTTTCTGGGTTTTAATTTACTTTTATCTGTGTTGTTTACAGCATGAAACGATTTTTGTTAAATACATGAACAATGCTTATGTTATAAAAAAAATCTTATACCAAAAAAAAAACATAAAAATAGAAAAAATGATACTTGTATAAATAATTGAACTCTCAAAAATAAAATAACAATTATTCAACTGACCTGTAATCGCTCCTTGACACACACTAATAACAAATTTGATTGAACAATCAGTTTAATGCAAAATAAAAATAAAAATTGAGTAATGAATATTTATAGACACGCGTCTAAAGGGACCAGCCCAGCTTGTTCTCTAGTCTCCTGCCTAATCGCTTCCTCTCTACCTCCCATTCGGTTCGGTACTCTCGTTCTCCCCTAAACCTAAAATTCGTGGCGTGGCATACATAGTTGCAAAAGTTAAGATTTAAAGAAATAATATTTTAAATAGGTGGATTTCCTCACAGTAGAAGTTAATTACGATTCAGTATGGGAATTATTACAGAAACGACTGATCTTCAAGCTTTTGGATAAAATATTACATTCCGCATCTTGTTTGAGAGTAGTATTTGATGCATCCTGCAAAAGCTCCACCGACACTAGCCTCAACGATATAATGCATGCTTGCCCGAAATTGCAACAGAATTCGCTGGAGAAAACATAAATTTGTATTCTGCGCTGATATTGAGAAAATGTACAGACAAATATTAGTGCATCCAGAAGATCAACAATTCCAAAGAATTTTATGGAGAGAAGATCCCACAAAACCAATGTTCGAATATGAGCTTACTACGGTTACATACGGTACAGCCTCAGCTCCATACCTAGCGATCAAGACCCTACAAAAACTCGCAACTGAAGAAGCAGAAAACTTTGCAGCCACAAGCCATGCGGCACTGCGATATTTTATCTGGATTAAATGATATATGCAAGCAGCCCTTGGGCTCCAGAAACGGTTGTTGCAAATGCTTAGTTCTGCTGGCTTCAATTTAAAAAAAAGGTCGTGTAATCATCCTACATTGCTTACGTCAATTCCTCAGCAATTTAAAGAACAAAAAATTCAAGAATTGTCACAAGACATGAAGAATTCTTTGGGAGTATTATGGTCTCCATCCGATTCATTCAAATTCTAAGTACAAATCTCTGAATTAAACAAGCACACGAAACGGCAAATCTTATCAGAAATATCGAAATTATTTGATCCGTTGGGATTGATTGATTGATTGACTATGTCCATTCTTCAAGGCATATGCTGAGCACTGCAGCCTTAAAGACTTATTGTGTATCCTTGCCGTACTCCTCCTCATTCACTCTGCAAGTTGGACGGTCGACCAACGCTAGCGGTGCCGCAGATACCTCGTTTTTACCGCTCTACTGCGACCCAATAAGCCGGGTATCCATTGGGATGGCTAGCTCCAGTAATAATTGAAGCAAAACCTCATCATCCAAGATATATGGCTGCAAAATATAGGTCGGGATCAACCTGTTGACGATGTCACATTTGCAAGATGGCATAAGTTCCAAAGAAATGTCAAGGATTTGAGAGTAGAGCTCCATGGATTCTGTGATGCATCTGAAAAAGCATACGGTGCAGTCATTTAAAGCCGAACAACTACTGAGGAAGCCCACATTGTCACGCTCCTGCAAGCTAAGTCCAAAGTCGTCTCAGCAAGAAAAACGTCACCTCTCTAAGCTCATAGAAAAAACCAACTCCGCTTTGTAGTTTGAAAATACTCAATCACCTTAAATCACAGGAATATCCAGCAGATATCGTAT